CTGTGGCCCCGATTGCAAGATTTGTTTCCAGACAAGAGTAACACGTGGGGGCAGCGCAGCGGTGTATTTGTTTGTTTGTTGGTCTCACGCTCCGATGGCCCCGACAAGCGCGTATCTCACCAGAGCTGCTGGGGCACTTGCCCGCTTCTAGGGCCTCTCTCTCTCTCTCGTGCCTCCAGGCCGACCTACTTCAGAGATGCTTGTCTGTCTCCACGTCTATGATCTCCAGACAGTCGGCGTTCTGTTCGGCACAGAGGTCAGGCTAAGGCACAGTCGAACACAAAGCACCCAAAGCGTAGGGTGGGTGGCAGGGGACGCCCTACGTCCTTCGTCCTTCGAAACCCGAAGGGCTTCGGATCGTGCCCTCCAGACCAAATCCCGAACAGGACCGCCCGCCCCAGGTGTCCTGGGCGACTCCCAAGCAGGAAAAACGCCCCACTATGGAAAGAAAACCTTCAAAATTCATCGAATGTTTGAGGGCCAACTGTTCGTGCACTTTTGGTTTGGCAATGACGATGAACTGAAATGGACCGAAATAACATTGTGGACGTTTCAGACAGCAAAAGACACGATGTCCCATCAATGGAATGCGATCCAGAGACAAAATGCCCGCTCGTGCCTTACTCATAATGCCGGGCAGCCTACCTGCCCGGATGTCGACGTGGATGTCGTCTCGCCTCGCGTCGCCTCGCGTGCGGCAGAGCTTTGTCTTCGCTTACGGGCCGACCCCGAAACAGCCGCCGGATTCCGAGTAGTGCTGTCCCTCTCGCTCCCCTTCGACCACGAGAGTGAGACAGAGCTGCGCCGCTGCACCGGCTACCTGTCGCTCGCCTTTATTCAGACGCTTCTTGTTTTAGCGACGCTCCCTTGAAGAGAGGGAGGCATTCCCGGAGAAGCGATTCACTGTGAAAACTGGAGATCTTGGGCCAAGTCCCAATGGACGTCCGTGCTCACCAGGTCATTGGCCCAACACCACCGCACCAGTCGGAGGCATTTTGAACGATGGTCGCTAGAACTTATTTTTCCGCCAGAATCTTCGGTAGTTCCCCAGACAACCAGAAGTCCAACTCAATCGGCTTCAGGCCTACGGACCGAAGCTCGCTTCTGCAGGGCCAGAATCAGCCAGCGTTTGGTGGAGCGGCACTTTCTCGCCAAGAGCCCCGTAATGTTTGATTCGTTTTGAAACAAACGAAGTGCGAGCTATTTTCTCCCCGCAGCCCGAGAGCGCTCAAGGATCTCGAGATTATATTCGCCGTTCAAGTGGATGCACGCCGCCCGCACGCACACACACGCGGGCCGGGCGACGCGCGCTGCCCCATTAGACACAGCACCTCCCATAAACACATTGGCCCGAGAGGAGCGGGCGGAGCGGGCGGGCGAGGGGAGGGGAGACGCAACAGACAGACGGAGGGGGGCAAACGCCCGCTGCTGCTGCTGCCTGCCGAAGGCTGCCGAACGCCTGGCGACGGCTATCCGAGCTTAGGTCGAGCTCAGCCGAAGCTGATCCGAGCGCGAGCCGAACGACCCGAAGCCGAACCGAACGCTCGCCGCACAGTGGGCCAGAAGACCGGTGGAGGCGGTCAAATTCCCGGACGCGCTTAGAACTCCAGAGCCGCTAAACGGGACTCGAACCGAACGTGTGACCCCACCAATGGATCGCTCTCCGAACGAGGAATCCATTGGTGGGATCAGACGTTCGGTTCGAGTCCCATTTAGCGACTTTGGAGCTCAAAACGCGTCTGGAGTTTTCCCCGCCTCCACCGGTCTACTGGCCCACTGTGCGCCCCGTCGCGCAGACGAGTCTTCGGAACTTGCCGGGCTGATGACTGACTGGAGGAGCAGCGCTGACCGAGCCGCACTTGCTTCGTGCACACATGTTGAAGATTAAAAACCCACTCCACTGGCAGGAACGAGCTTTCAAATCCGACTAAAATCTCCGGAGCCGTTCATTACAGGAGGCTGCGCCAACGGGTTACAATTGGGTTCAAAAGGAAAGCGATTAAGGGCTAGTGAATTATCGCTTTGGAGAGCTTCATAAAAGTCGGATTGTTCAGGCGCTGCCGGCGAGGCGAAGACGAAAAGAGACAGATGAGGGCCGGACTGTACACGGGAAGTGCGATAAACGCCCCACGCCGGCCGAGCAGGCCGAGCCGGCGGCAACGGCAGATTGGCTGCAGCCGCAGGCCAACGCGTTCGACTTGCTTTTCGTCGCAGGCACTTTGTTTTTCGCACAGTTACTGATTCAATTTAGACTGATAAGTCGCGAGTCGCCTTTAGGCGCAGGTCAATTACCTTTACGCTGTGACGTTGCTATAAGGTGGCACGAAAGGCAAAGTGACCAAAATGGCATAGTGGGACCGCCACTCCGTCGATGTGCCTGTCAACGCCACGCGAGTGGACTCCAGCCACGCCCCTGTGCTTATCAGCGTGACCATCCCACAGTGGGCCACAAGACCGGTGTGGCCGGCCAAAACTCCAGACGCGTTTTGAGCTCCAGAGTCGCTGAATGGGACTCGAACCGAACGTGTGACCCCGCCAATGGATTCCTCGTTCGGAGAGAATTCCATTGGTGGGGTCACACGTTCGGTTCGAGTCCCATTTAACGACTCTGGAGCTCAAAACGCGTCCTGAGTTTTGGCCGCCTCCACCGGTCTTCTGGCCCACTGTGCTCCGGAACCGCGCGTGCAGCAACAACAAGGCGCCTTTGGTGACATCAGGGCGCCTTAGGCGAACAACAACAAAATAAGGCGAAGGTCGATGTGCAGCGCCTTGCAGATGGCCCCCTTGAGAGAGAGAGAGAGAGAGAGAGAGAGAGAGAGAGAGAGAGAGAGAGAGAGAGAGAGAGAGAGAGAGATCCTGGGCACGGGAGCGAGAGAGACAGAGGGGTGGCGGCCGATCGATGGTGCCTCCGGCGGCCGACAGATGGCGCGGCGGCGCGCGGTGGCGAGGCACCCCACTGCCGACCGCAACCACCTAAACACAGCCCGGTCCTGCTCCAAAATGCGCTGCGCTGGGATTTGAACCCGCGCCCCTCGCTTCGACAGTGCTTTGCGAAATCGGCGAGCTCGGAGAGTGCTCGGAGAGGCGAGCGCGGGGCCGTTGACCCGCCGCCGCTCCGTGCGCAGAGCGCTGCAGAGTGGATGCACAGGTGCTGCTACGTAGTGCACTGCCCGCCGGTACCCGCCGCACAGTGGGCCAGAGGACCGGTGGAGGCGGCCGAAACACTAGACGCGTTTTGAGCTCCAGAGTCGCTAAGTGGGACTCGAACCGAACGTGTGACCCCACCAATGGATTGCTCTCCGAACGAGGAATCCATTGGTGGGGTCACACGTTCTCTGTCTCTGTCGCACTCAAGGGTGCGAGAGAGACAACCCGATCCTCCGAATCGCCCGGCTGGCGCCAGCTTTAGCGCCAGCGGGGCAGCGGAGCGACAGAGGAGCACAGCAGTGCGAAAATCGCAGATACTACACTCTATTAATAAACCGATTGGCAAAGCGCAAGACGCGGGCCCAGTGGGTTGGGCCCGTTGGACCGGGCGGGCGGGGCGGCCGGGCCGAGGGATGGGCCCACCAGGGGCCCACCCGCACCGCCCCCTCTCTGCCGCCCCAACGTCCGTCTGACCGCCTGACTGTCAAGCCTGTCAACACTGTCAAGGCCTTCGCGTGCTTGACTGTCGAAGTGTTGGTCTCTTTATCAGTTACACTGCTAATGTGTTTGGTCCAAGTAGACTGTCAATGAATGGGCTAGGTACAAGTGGACTGCCAATGTGAGTGGCCCAATTAGACTGTCAATGTGCTTGGTCCAAGTAGACTGCCAATGCGCTTGGTCCCAGTAGACTGTCAACGTGCTGGGTCGAAGTTGACTGGGAATGTGCTTAGAAGTCTGCAAACGTGTTTGGTCTTAGTAGACTGTCAATGTGCTTTAGCTTGACTGTCAATGAGCTTGGTCCAAGTTGACTGTCAATGTGCTTGGTCCCAGTAGACCGTCAACGTGCTTGGTCCAATTAGACTGTCAACGTGCTTGGTCCAATTTGACTGTCAATGTGCTTGGTCCAATTTGACTGTCAATGTGCTTGGTCCAATTTGACTGTCAACGTGCTTGGTCCAATTAGACAGTCAATGTGCTTGGTCCAATTAGACTGTCAACGTGCTTGGTCCAAGTTGACTGTCAATGTGCTTGGTCCAATTTGACTGTCAATGTGCTTGGTCCAATTTGACTGTCAATGTGCTTGGTCCAATTTGACTGTCAACGTGCTTGGTCCAATTAGACAGTCAATGTGCTTGGTCCAATTAGACTGTCAACGTGCTTGGTCCAAGTTGACTGTCAATGTGCTTGGTCCAATTTGACTGTCAATGTGCTTGGTCCAATTTGACTGTCAACGTGCTTGGTCCAATTAGACAGTCAATGTGCTTGGTCCAATTAGACTGTCAACGTGCTTGGTCCAAGTTGACTGTCGAAGTGCTTGGTCCAACGCTGTATGCCTCGTGGGGCGTCCCGCAGGGGTGCGAGAGAGTGCGGACTGCTGGTGATAAAGCTCAGCGCTTTGACTCATCCTCTTGGGAGGCGGGCCTTCTCGGCGTGCCAGTGTGTCAGTCGCGTGCCGCGGATGCATGACGCATCCCGGCCGGCCTGGCGTCCTGGTCGTCCCAAGCACTGATTGTCATTGTCGCTGTCCTCGCGGGACGCCCCAACAGAGAGACAGAGCGACGGTGGGCGCCGCTTTTGACAGGTGCGACGAGTGTGGGGCGAGTGGCGCGTCTTCTGCGAGGCAGCAACAGATGGCGCTCCACCACCCTTCAGCAGCCTTCAGCCCCACAACCCTTCAGCCATCCACCGACTGAAAGCGCTGTCGGCACGCCGCGTCGGGGAAGGCCCTGTCTCCCTCATGCAGGCGGCAGCTACCCCTTCGGCCTGCAGCCCGTTGGCGCCGAGGGTCTTTCAGGTGTGCCATCCCCGTCAAGGTGCACCAGTGAGATTCGAACCCACGGCCTGATACTCACCCCATGCTGGTTGGGCGGCGGACCGTCGGCCTGCTTCTTGTCACTCTTCTTGGCGGCGCGCTTGGCCTTGCTCTCCAGGTAGCGCTGCCGCAGGACCAGCGTGTCCTGGATGTTCTGCTCCACCAGGCCCTCGAAGCTCTGGTTGAACCTGGGGATGCAGTCCACCTGGTGCTTGCGGTAGCCGTCGAAGCGCCGCCGGAGTCGCTCCACGGCCATCTGCTTCTTGGCGGGCAGCACCTCCGCCCCCATCTGCTGGGGGGACGCGGCGGGGGCGGGGGCGGGAGCGAGCGCCAGGGGGGCGGCCCCCCCGGGCTCGACCCCAGGTGCTCCTGGGTGAGGGTAGTATGCCAGTGCGGACTGTGTCGTCAGTACCCGGGGTACACGTTGACGTGCATGCCGGCACAGCCTCCCTGGACCTGGACCTCCCCGACGACCTGGACCGCGGCCCGCAGACCCGGTGCCGGCCGCCTACCTCCAGGGCTTCATCGCGGACGAGCGAAGCAGGCGACACACTGGCACTCACTGCACCGGCCCGGGCTGCCCGGCCCTCCGACCAGACGCATCCTGGACGGACATAACCTCACTCCGGCTGTAAACACTGCCGTCACACTCGCACACTGCCGCACGCGCACGCACTTGGTCGCGCTGCTTGGCGCCGCTGGACACTCACACACACACTAGCACTCGCGGCGCGGGTGGCTGTCTTTGCTGCCCCTCAACTCGAAAGGGGAAACGCGAAGCCGCGACGCCGAAACACAACGGTCCCTGCAGCTCGCGTCGCTTGTCTCGCTTGTCCCGACCGGCTCGCCCGCTCCCCTCCGTATCCCGACCACTTGTGAAACGTTCCCCGAGCCGAGCCGAGCCGAGCCGCCAGCCTGCGCCAGCCCAGCCAGCCGCCCGTCGGCCGGGCAGGCAGCCCGAGCTGGCAGGCAAGCACAGCCGCACCGCGCCGAGCCCAGCCAGCCAGCCTGCACCCCCTCCCCCTCGGCCTCCCTGCCCGCCCCTGCCGCGCACCGCGCACCGCGCCGCACCGCGCGCGCCGCAGCCACCCCGGGCCAGGCTGGCAGCCAGGCTGGCAGCCAGCACACGGTACGGGCTGGCTGGCTGTGGCGTAGCGACGGTCTGGCTGTGTGTAGCGCTCAACGCGGAGCCGGGCAGCCGTAAGGCAGCCGGGCAGGGCCCATGGCACAGGGCATAGCTTGCAGTGTGCAGCGCAGAGTGCACGACTCGCTAGCCTCGCCAGGCCCTCGCGGCGTTGTTGCCTTGTGGCTCAACTTTGCACTCGGAGTTGTCCTCCGCCGACTCAGCAGGCTCATTCCGAGAGTCGTCGCTCTGTCTCTCTCGCGCCCCTACGGCGCGCCCCATGAGTGCGAGAGAGACGGAGGAGGGGCGGGTGCCTCGCCAGTCAACACGCCTCCTCCTCCGCTTGCCCCGCTTGGCCTGACTTACAGTGTGGCCGAGTAGGCGATGGCACAGCGGTGGGGCGCACCGAGTTTGTTTCAGTTCATTGTGCCCCGTTGATTGATGAAGCTCCGCGTTTTGGACACCGCCCCGGCCGGGAATCGAACCCGCGGCACCTGCTGACTCGTGATTGGGAATCGATCACGCAGCCGCCTGAGCTAAGCGACGCTTAATTTTAAGGCGACAGGCAAAGTGGGGATGAAGCGAGAGCGCGTTCCAGACTGCCAGTGTGCCAGAGTCCCAGAGCGCGGACGGCGCCGCCCCCAGCCGCCCCTCCCCCGGCCGCCACCGCGGCGGAGCGGCGGAGCACTGGTATTTGAACTCGGCTCCAAAGCACAGTGGAAACATAAAGTCACGGACAAAGGCAAAGGCCGGCAAAGGCGGCGGGGATTCGAACCCGCAACCCGCGCCTCCGTGTCCCTGAAGAATCGTTCCGTCGCTCTGTCTCTCTCGCAGTCGTGGACGTGAGTGCGAGAGACACAGAGCGACGACTCTCGGAATCAGTCTGCAGCCGCGCTGATTATGGTGATGATGGAGGTGGCTGCGTGTCCCTGCAGCGCAGCGCCTTGCAGTGCCTTGCAGTGGCGCGCCGCGCCTATTCGCACAATCAGATTACTACTCAGACAGTCGCGTCGTCGCTCCGCTGCGCCCCTGCCGAGGCCGCCCCACACAGTGTGCAGGCGGTCAAAATCCCGGACGCGTTTTCAGCTCCAGAGTCGCTAAGCAGGACTCGAACCGAACGTGTGACCCCACCAATGGATTCCTCGTTCGGAGAGCAATCCATTGGTGGGGTCGCACGTTCGGTTCGAGGCCCATTTAGCGACGCTGGAGCTCAAAACGCGTCCGGGACTTTACCGCCTCCACCGCGTCTTCTGTCCAATGTGCGCCGGCCAACAAACAAACCCGTGTGTCTCCAGAACGCCTGTCGACGACCAACCCGTGCTGTTCAAATTCACTCATTCCAGTGCTGCCACATAAGTAGGCGAAAACCCCACCACTGCGTACGGGACTCGGATGAGAAATCGCGCCGCTGTGGCGCCTCGAGTGCGAGAGAGACAGCGCGCCGCGCCTCGGCCGCGCCGTGGCGATCGGAGGGAGGGAGACGGAAGCGCGATTCCGTCGAACGCCAGCAAAAAGAGGCGCCGGGCGACTTACTGCCCGCGGGGCCGCGGGGCTGTGTGCAGTTACAGTGTGCGTCCCCCACCAAGCAGTGCCGTCTCCCTCGCACTCTCGGCGCGTCCCGTACGGGTGCGAGAGAGACGGAGCGCCTGGAGGACCTCGCCCACACAACACCCGTTAGTCCAACCCTGTCCGGCCGAGCCGTGCCGAAGGAGCCGAAGGCAGCAGAGTCGTTTCCGTCGCACCTGTAGGGAACGCCCCACGAGTGCGAGAGAGGCAGCGCGGCGAAAAGGACTCTAGGCCGTTCGGTTCGGCCCGGAAGGCAACGGAAGGCGGCAGTGTGGCGGCAGGCAAACGCCATCCTCCAATCCAACGAGATTGCCTACCGGCTGGACTAGGCTGGACTAGGCGACCAAGGAAACGGGGACATCGGGGCACTCACCGCCCAGTGCTGCCAAAAGCAGCCAAAACTCCCGCCACGATGCACCAGTGTCGAAAGGGTTGCCAACCCCAGCCTGCCCACTGGGCCACGCCTTCTGCTACGGCCTTGCGAATTTGCCGCAAATTTTTGCAAGCTGTGGTAATTTTTTTCTTGGCTTCTTTTTGGTGTGTACGTACGCGCGCCCAATTTTGGAGTTGTTCACCCCTTTGGCGTTGGCGCGGTTCGAGCGCTTCGCGCCGTCACACCGCACTGCCAAAACGCGCGTACACTCGAAAAACAATCCGCGGCATGCATTAGCGCATTAGCCGACCTGACAGCAACAAAGAGCTTCGGCTGAGTCAGCTGGAAATTAGTTTGAGTACTGTACCGCGCCGAGCGAAAATTGGGTGCGGAGCTTGACAGGGCGGTGAAATTGGGAGTTCGACGAGCCGGCCAGATTTCTGCGTTTATAGTGTCGCGGAGTCGTCCGCGCCGCCCAGCGCGATGATTGATCTAGAGCGAGGAGCAGACCGACTCCGCGGATGAGCGTCGCTCTGTCTCTCTCGCACTCATGGCGCGCCGCGGGGGAGTTGTGCGAGAGAGACAGGGCGACGAAAGCACTGTTTGGGATGCCACGGCATGCAGTCCAAACCAGTCGAACCTCGAACACGCTCACCGAGGACCTCTTTCTCCCGCCTACACTATAAAACAAAAGTGTGTGTGGCTCTTTGTGTCCTCGGCGGCCGCGGCACACTGATTCCGACAGTCTGTCTCTCTCGCACTCATGGCGCCTCCCGTGTAGGTGAGAGAGAGACACACAAGAAGACGTCGCTCGGCCGCTCGGCAAGATGGTGGCGTCATTGGGGTTATCTCCCTCTCTCTCCCTCCCCTCTGCCGAGTGTGTGGCGTTGCAGGGCAGTCATGCAGTGCAGCAGCGACGCCAGCGACGCCCCGGTGACGCGAGCAGACGCGAGCCGCTACGCGTTCAAACAAACCGAGTGGGGCTCCGCGAGCCTCACGTCGCGGCGCCGTCAGTTCCAGAATTAGAGAGACTGGGGCCTCTCCAGCCCGCTTCTCTTTCAATTAGAGAGACTGGAGCCTCTCCAGCCCGCCTCTCTTTCAATTAGAGAGACTGGAGCCTCTTCAGCCCGCTTCCTTTTCAATTAGAGAGACTGGAGCCTCTCCAGCCCGCTTCCTTTTCAATTAAAGAGACTGGAGCCTCTCCAGCCCGCTTCCTTTTCAATTAGAGAGACTGGAGCCTCTCCAGCCCGCTTCCTTTTCAATTAGAGAGACTGGAGCCTCTCCAGCCCGCTTCCTTTTCAATTAGAGAGACTGGAGCCTCTCCAGCCCGCTTCCTTTTCAATTAGAGAGACTGGAGCCTCTCCAGCCCGCTTCCTTTTCAATTAGAGAGACTGGAGCCTCTCCAGCCCGCTTCCTTTTCAATTAGAGAGACTGGAGCCTCTCCAGCCCGCTTCTCTTTCAATCAGAGGGACCCGTTCGAACTGCCATTCCGAGTTAGAGAGGCAGGCGCTACGTACCGAATTTGAACCGCCCGCCTCCTCCGGAGCGCGCCCTCCTTCGGCCCCTTCGGCCGCTTCGGCGCGGTTCACTGTACGCTCGGCAGCGGAAAATACCGAGTGGACGTGACCATGGCCAGGTCAATAGTGAAAAGCCTGGCCAGCCCTGCAAATCCGAAGAGTCGTTTCGCCGCTCGGTCTCCCTGCCTCTCTCTGACGGCACGCCCCACGAGTGCGACAGAGACAGAGCGACAAGCGACTCCTCGGAGGCGGCCGCCCCGCGGGTTCATCTTACGCCCGTCGCGCACGCATCGGCCGGGACCGGGCCGGGACTGCCGACTTGGCAAACACTGCGTCTACACATCTGCCGAAGGCCCGAAGGGCGAGCGTGGCTGTCTCCATGCTGTCTCTCTCGCCCTCGCGGGGCGTGCCCGGCGTGCCGTCGCGGTGCGAGAGAGACAGAGCGAGGCACAGTGGGCCAGAAGGCCGGTGGAGGCGGTCGAAACTCTAGACGCGTTTTGAGCTCCAGAGTCGCGAAACAGGACTCGAACCGCCACCCTTTGGCGGGGCCTTCGCGCTTCGAGGTCTTCGAGGTTCGCCCTCCCGCAAAAGAATGCCTCGATTTGGGGCACATAATTGCAAAGTAGCCTGCACTGCAGCCTCCTCGTCGGCCAACCCACGCCCCCCCCCCCCCCCCCCGCCATCCGCGCCGCCCGCCATGCCCCGCCATGCCACCCGGGCCCAGACTGCACCTGCGAGCGGGCCTGTTGGCTGGCTGGGGATCTTTCCGGTGCACCCGTCCCTCGCACAGTGGCCTGGTCGCTGCTCCCTCTACTCCGTCTCTGTCGCACGCCCGCGCCGTGCGGTACCCGCGCGAGGGAGACAGAGCGACGAGCCAAAGACAACAACGCCATCTTGCACCGGGCCGGCACCACACCGGACGGCGTTTATCGGTACAGACTCTTTCGCATCGCGCCTCGGATGCCCGGATTAACCGCACCTGGAGGAAGTGCTCCGGCCGCGCGTTTCCGCAGTGATAACGGAGCTACGGCCGGACCGACCTAAGCGAGGGCTTTGGCCAGCTTGCCATGCTCGCAATGGGGCGCGAACGCAGACGCGAACGCAGACCGAGCTTGATTGCGTCAAGCTGTGGAGCATTTTTTCAGCGCGACCGAGGGACAGGGACGGACCCAGGGGCATAGTCGCGTGGGTCGCGCGTCGCACACACTGCCACCACCACGGGCAGCAGTCTCTCTCTCGTTCCCTCGCACCCACAGGGAACGCCCCACGAGTGCGAGGGAGACAGAGCGACGAAAACGCCTCTCGGAATCAGTCAGCAGCCCGGCCGGAGCGAAGACGGCCCCGCCGGCCGACCAGCCGACAGCTCCCCCCCCCTCCCCCCAGTGTGCCCCCCACCACCCTCCAGCGGCCTTTCTAGTACCGCTAGCAGCGCTCCCTCGGCGTAGCGGTGGATACCCGAACTGCGTCACCTCACCACACCACGATCCACCAACTCAAGCAGACCGGCCCAACGCAAAACGGCTAGGCGGATCAGTGGTCCGAGTCCGAAAAGCGCTCTGTCTCTCTCGCACCCCGACGAACCGCCCCACGAGTGCGAGAGAGACAGAGCGACGGGGCACGGGGCACCGCGTGGAATGGGCCTGCAGGCGGATCTTGGTCGCGCCGTTTGCCATTTATTTTTGGGTCGGACTGTGTTTACTTACTTGGCGCGCTTCGCGGCGCTTCGCGAGACGCGGCACTTGTCTCGCGGCCGGAAGCGCGCCCGCCGTCTGTCTCTCTCGCACTCCTCCGGCTCGCCATAGCGCGCCCTAGCGCCCCGTGAGTGCGAGAGAGACAGAGCGGCGATGCCTTGCGCTGCCTTGCGCGCGATTCCGATACGTAGAGGCAAACATTGTAATCGGTGACGTCGGTGACGGAGACGGCGCTCTGCTCGCCCTGCTGGGGGGCGTCCATAAGCCGGGCGCGACACAGTGGGCCAGAAGACCGGTGGAGGCGGCCAAAATCCCGGACGCGTTTTGAGCTCCAGAGTCGCTAAATGGGACTCGAACCGAACGTGTGACCCCACCAATGGACTGCTCTCCGAACGAGGAATCCATTGGTGGGGTCACACGTTCGGTTCAAGTCGTCACTTCCCTGTCCAGAGGCAGGCAAAAAGGCACTACTTACTACGCCCCTACGCCCCTACGCAATCGTGTATTGGTAAAAAGATTGGGAATTACGAAAAAATTACGGCACCGCACCTAACTGTGTCACAGAGGCCTTCATCTGTACATAAAAGAAAGCAGCCTTTGTGAATCCCAACCATCCAACCACGACCGAGTTTAAATTCTTGATCGTGGCCAACCAACCACTCGGCCATTCTCGGCATATAGCCAATCTGAAATGAAAGGGAGCATTCAACGCATTAGGGTTTATAGAAATCATTTGCTATTGTGCTTATTCAAAAGTTTAAACGTTAACAGCACATCCCTCTTCTCATCATCTTCGAAAGTTTCGCGCCATTTCGAGTGGCGGGGGAAAGACCGTCCTGAGCAGGCTAGCCAACGCAGACAACGTCTGGGCTCTTGAAAATGAGGACATTCCGAGCGACTTAGCTTGATTTCAGAGCTGGAAGGTCTCTGCAATGATCCTTATGGTGAATTCCCTCCTCTAGACCCACAAGTGGAGCGCCTGCCTTTATTTTTCGCACGGCCTCTCTCCTCGCGGTCCTACGATATCTCCCCCGCTCCCAGGGTGTCCAGGCTCCAGCAGCTTCTGCGACCAGCCGGACTTTGTCTGCAGCCCTCACGATGTCTGCCTCTCTGCGGATTTTCGCCGTTTCTCGGCTTGCCCAGAAGTTCGCGAGGCCGGCAAGCCGTGTGCTTGTACCTCACAGTCCGAAATATCTTTCTGTGTCGAGGAACACTGGAATCCGTAAGTGTTCTGAGCTGTCTAAGTCGCCGAGCGAGTATCATGGGGAAACATAACCTATCGCTGTCTCGTTTCTGTGAACCCTTATAGTCGTTGAGAACTGAGTTGCCTTGTGGTGGTGACTCTTTGTTGAGGGTAGTTCTTATTTCTATTTACTCCCATCTTTTTCACCGAGCTTTGGACTTGGAATCGAGTAACTGTCTAAGAATTCACGCCTCACTTTATCGCAATTGTTATCACTTTCATTCATTCATTCATTCATTGTTTGGAAGCAACAGTTTTGAATCAGCACTACACCATCAGGTTTTTATCTTCAATTTTATTCCGATTCTAAATCTTATGTTCTTTGTTTCTGTCATTATTTCAGTTTGGCGTCAGCAGTATCGATCCTTGAGTGCTCAAGCAAACGAAGACAAAGTCAGCAGCAATGGTACAAATTTACAACACTGTAAGAGATTTCTTTCATTCATACCCTCAGCTCTAATTTTAAAAACACTTTCATGCGGCCTTAGGTGCAGAGAAGTTGGAGTTCCAAGCCGAAACTCGTATGCTCTTGGACATCGTTGCCAAATCTCTGTATTCTGAAAAAGAGGTATAACTTCTAGTTCGAATTTACTTTCCGTGAATTCTTTTTCTCGCCCAGAAAGTTCCCCTGGGATGTAATTATTTGTTCTGCTTGTAGGTGTTCATCCGAGAGTTAATTTCAAATGCAAGTGATGCCCTGGAGAAGCTGCGCCACTCTCTGCTGTCTGAAGGCAAGGATGGAGGTGCACTGGAAATCCGTATCACCACTGACAAGCAGAACCGTGTCCTGACGATTCAGGTAAATCAAATGGAGCATTATGACACCGAATTAATAACTCCCTAAACTGGTTCAAATAGTGGCTGTAAAAATAAAATATTTGTAAAACTAACATTATTTAAAGAGAAATTTTGAAAAAAAAAAGTCTTAATAGATATGACTTTCTGCTGCAATCAAATATAAGCAAAACAAAGGTTTTTCAGAAGTTCTATAAATATAGTGTTGATGAAACTGGGATGGTTAGCAATGCAATGTCAAAGCGTGGAACTGAGATTTGAAGTGAGGGCCCAGGTCAGTGGGCCTTAGCCATAGCCACCCCCTTCCACGCCACGCCTCCACCCCCACCCCAACCCCCACCCCCACCCCCACCCCCACCCCCTCGGGGAAGGACCGCTCCCTCCTCGAGTGTCCTTTCAAATTTAGTTCCGTCCAAACGCCCCCGCTCCGAGTCTCCTTTCGCGAAACGCAATTATACCCTGACGGAAATAAGGAATTGGAAAACGTGACGCGGCGCCGGGATTCGAACCCGGGCCAATCGGCTTGGTGTCCATTTCCACGGCTTATCCGTGGACTCACGCCCCCGCCTCCCCCGTTATCCGCCCTCGCCAGTGTGGCGACCGAAGTTGGCCTCCGGGCAGCCCGGCTGAGCATGGCTGAGCCTTGGGCTGAGCCCCGCGTTAAGTCACGAGGTTTATCACGGGTCCGGGCGGCGCGCGCTGCGCCACGCTCACGCTCCACGCCCCGCGACGCTCCGTTCCGCGACGCTCCACGGGGGCTTGGAGGCGAGGCGGCGTGGCGCTGCGTGGCGCGGCAGCGCGGCCAAGCCAGGCCGGGCCAAGCGAAGCGCGGTGCGGTGCGGCGTACCACGGAATCGATAGTGGAATGACCCCCTTGCTCCGCCTGCTCCCTGCTTCGCCCGGACCGCCCCTGGCTCGCCGCGCACCGAGCGCGCACGCCCCCGGGGCCCGGGCCCTCCCTGGTCCGCCGCCGCACAGCGGGCCAGAGGACCGGCGCAGGCGGCCAAAACCCTGGACGCGTTTTGAGCTTCAGAGTCGCTAACCAGGACTCGAGCTCAAAACGCGTCTGGGATTTTGGCCGCCTCCACCGGTCTTCTGGCCCACTGTGCGGAGTGTGAGGCACTCTGACGGGCCCTCCCCAGCGCGGATCCGCGAAGGGGATCGCCCCTTGACCCCAGACGGCCGCCTGACAGGTGGGCCGAAAGCCTCACTTTGCCCCTGTAAGTAGGCACAAAGTGCTACTTTGCACCCCCACCCCCTCCGGCCGGCTCCGGATCCGCCTCTGGACCCGCACGGGGCCATTGCGCAGGCTGGGCCCCGGCCCCGCCAGGCTCCACGCCAGTGGCTCCACTCCTATCCACTCCGCGCGCGACAGGGCCGAGCCATGCCATGGCCATGCCGTGGCCGAGCCGCGCCTCGGGGCCGAGCGGGCCAGAGGCAGCCAGAGGCACACCCCACTTGCCGGGCGTGCCGGGCGTGCCTGCCCAAACCCCGTCTAACCACCCCTACCTCCACCCATTCGCTCCTTGCGCCCCTTTCGCCGCACCCACAGCCCCAGCCCCTACTACCCCCACTCCGCCCTCATCTCCTTCTCCCAACCTGGACTCCCAACCCCCTGACTTCCACCTCTCGAAAATGCCCCCCGAAGTGTGCCCCTACAATCCCCCCCTGCTCATCCACTGGTGCAGGCACCCCGATTGAACATCCCCTCTCTCGCCATTGATACCTTTGACGGCTCGAGCCAGAGGCTGGGGAGGGAATGACCCAGCACAGCAGACTGCTTCCGAGAGCCGTTGCTCTGTCTCTCTCGCACTCATTAGGCGTCCCGTATAGGTGCGAGAGAGACAGAGCGGAGATAGACACACGATGTGACGTCTGTGTTCGCAGGATACCGGCATCGGTATGACGCGGGAGGAGTTGGTCTCGAACCTCGGCACCATTGCCCGATCGGGGTCTAAGGTAGGCCGTTGTCGATCACACGCCCGTCGAGGGCCGTGAGTGCGATAGCTCTCATCTTGCTGCGGTTGTTGTTTTAGGCCTTCCTGGAGCAGATGAAGGAGAAGGGTACGGACGCTTCTTCCATCATCGGCCAGTTCGGAGTGGGTTTCTACAGTGCCTTCATGGTTGCCGACTCGGTGGAGGTGTTCACCCGCTCTGCCACGGCTGGTACTCCAGGATACAAATGGTCATCAGATGGGTAAGATGCTCAATCATCCAGAACGAATTATTTCAAAACAGCCTAGTAGAAAAAATTTATTTGTCCATTTTACAATGACACTGTTTTCTTCTGTAGGTCTGGCACCTACGAAATCAATGAAGCAGAAAATGTTGAGCCTGGTACAAAAATAGTGATTACTTTGAAAGCAGACTCAAGAGAGTTCAGTGATGAAGAAAAGGTCAAAGGTATGTACAAGGTCGCAAGTAATACAAATCATTGTTTATTTTTGCTGCTTGATTTCATGCTAGTCACGAATTTGTTTTCTTTTGTTTGTAGAAATTATTAAGAAGTACAGCAACTTTGTTGGAAGCCCGATCATATTGAATGGAGAGCGTGCCAATACCATTGAAGTGAGTTGAATAATCCATCACTTAAATATAATATTTATTTGTGCAAAAAATTTCTCAATGTCTGTTATTCTTTGTTTCAGCCCCTGTGGCTCAAAGACCCTAAGGATGTCTCAGACCACCTTCACTCCGAGTTCTATAGGTTTATTGGTGGATCCATTGATTTCCCAAGGTTCTGGCTCCACTACAAGACAGATGCTCCCATCTCAATTCGCGCCCTGCTTTATTTCCCTGACAGTAAACCAGGTTTGTCATTCATTTAGTGATGGTTGTGATTTGCTTAGGTCCCTAATTTAGAAATGATCATACTGAAATTTATTTCAGGTTTATTTGAAATGAGCCAAAGCACTGATGTGGGAGTGGCACTTTACACAAGAAAGGTGCTCATCAAGAGTAAGGCTGAAAATATCTTACCAAAGTGGTTAAGATTTGTGAAAGGTGTTGTGGATTCTGAGGATATTCCTTTAAATCTGAGCAGAGAGCTGCTTCAAAATTCTGCCCTCATCAGGTAGTTTACTGTTAAAGTCTTTTGAGTTTTAAAGTTCTTTCCTTTTCATTCCTAATTTTTGTCCTAAATATTTCAGAAAACTGCGCACTGTTTTAACCAACCGAATTCTGCGTTTTCTTCATGATCGCTCACAAAAGGAAGAGGCCTCTTTCAATGAATTTTACAAACACTATGGATTATTTTTAAAAGAAGGAATTGTAACTAGCCATGAACAAGTAGAAAAGGTAAGTGTTTATAGAGATTAAAATTTTAATGAATGTTTAGTGTCCTTTTAATAATGGCATGCTCATTTCTGTTCTAGGAAGAAATTGCTAAACTTCTCAGATTTGAATCCTCAACTAGCCAGCCAGGAGATCTTGTCAGCATTCCACAATACTGCAGCCGATTGAAGGAAGGCCAAAAGGATGTTTATTATCTTTCAGCTCCTAGGTACACAGTTTAATCAATAAGAGATTTATTTTGGTTAATAATTTTTTGTTTTGTGGCCATGACTTAGGTTTCATTAATGAATTGTTAAATGTTAACATTACAGTCGAGAATTGGCAGAAAGCTCACCTTACCTTGAGGCCCTTCGCAAGAGAGATGTGGAAGTTCTTTTCTGTTATGAACCCTATGATGAGTTAGTGTTGATGCAACTAAGACAGTTTGACATGAAAAACATAGTTTCTGTTGAAAAGGAAATGCGTCAAAGTACAGAGCCGGAGCAATCGCCTTTTGGTAAGTTGTTTGCCTGTTTTGAATCAATGCTCGCATGAGTAAATTTTTGTGCTACAGTATGTAATTATAATTTTTATGTTTCTCATCTTAGAAGCTGGAAGTTTGTCTCAGTCTGATATGGACGAGTTAATACCATGGATTAAGACAACACTCAAGGGCAAGGTAACTAGCGTCAAAGTCACAAATCGTCTGGAGTCTCATCCTTGTGTGATCACTGTCGAAGAAATGGCTGCAGCTCGACACTTTATCCGGACTCAGGCCCACAGCATGCCACAAGACTCTCATTACTCCATTTTACAACCTCAATTAGAATTGAACCCAAAGTAAGTCAGATGAATTTGGGGCAGAATTGGAATGAATTGGGAAGTGTCAAGTGTCTTAATGCATTTGTGCATGTTTTGTTTCCAGGCATCCCATTATTAAGAAACTTAGCTCCCTTTCAAAGGACAACCCTAAGTTAGCAGAATTAGTTGCTAATCAGGTAAACACTATCACAACCAAGTAAAATTGTTTGTGAGTCGTATCAATTTTATTCATTCCTTTCTGGTATTGCAGCTATTTTCCAATGCTATGGTTGGAGCTGGTTTGGTTGAAGACCCTCGGACCTTGTTGAGCGGTATGAACGACCTCCTTGAACTTGCTCTGGAGAAACATTAGATCATCCCTTTACTCCTAAGTGAATAGATGAGTACCTGTAAATAGAAACATATGTTTCATGCTATTTCATGTAAGACTGCTATATTAAAGATTTCATGCTGATGTCAACTGCTCCTGCTTTTTATTTTTCATTACTTGACTTATGGGGAGTGGGGGTGTTAGTAAGGAAAGTCCGGACTTAGTAGTTAAATATCACGTTTAATCACAAACTTCACAAAAATTTGCATGATACCATCAAGATAAGAAATTTTTGAGCGTGCTTGTTCCTTGCTAGGTTCCTCCTAAACTTGGCTAGTGTGCCGAGATGCTCGGAAATGAGATCACAGCTGCTTTCTCTCATCCAAACATCACATTTTTTTACTGACTGCAGTAACTTGTCTCAATAGTACAAATACAACACCCCTCAGCACACCGGTGTTCAGAGATTAAACTAACATTGAGATGAGAATTCAATACTGCAATACTAAGGATACTCTTAAGTTTATCCCTAATGAAATGATATGTTTATCATAAAGGCGTAAATCTCCTAGATTCATACAATAAATTCCTTAATTATCTAGTTGATATGTACATTGGCACTGAAAAATATTTCATGAATTTCTAGTTGTCTTTATCGCAACTGATATGTAGTAGATTCAGACTAAAAGCTGCTTCATCAAAGAGTGTTAACAACTTACAATACAAAATTGCAGCAGAGGCTTTACAAAAATTAAAACCTTAAAATTAACTAACAATTTGTTAACCTTGACCATTTCTGCTCTAGAAAACCTACATGTGCGTTAAAGATCTCATAAAATTAGAACATTTGAGTCTCTTTTCAAACACAGATATTAATACTAGCTAATACTAGCTTAAAAACAGTAAAAATGGCACATTGGAAAGAAAATGCAGGACAAATATCAAAGATCCTCTGATAACATTAACATTGACAACAATGCAAATAACATAATATCACCATTATTTGTTGCTGTACAGATTCAGAATAGAAAAACTTCAACAATTCTTTCCGCGGCCTGCTTCAAACTTCCACAAATGTCATGCAATTTTTTGTGCACCATGACGAAGGGAAGGAGCGCCCTGTCAGAATTTTGTGTGGTCCTTCCCGGAATCAGCGCCAAGTTGACTGTGTTGCAGTTGCTGTTGTTTAGTGGCTGATAATCTTCGCAAATCATCTACACAGAAAAAAATTGTGCCATTTGATTAGTGTCATAAAATAAAATTATGAACCAAATGTGATGAACCAAAAAAATTTCTGCCTTACTTTTGATGAAGAGGGAAAGAATTAAACCAAACACCAGAGCTCCAATGAACCCATAGTTGGTTATTTCATTTCCATAAATCTGCACAACTTCGCCAGCTCCCAGCACTAGGGCTATGCCAATGCTTTCTCCCGCTGCGTTCAGAAGGCCCACAGCTGTGCTCTCGGAATGAGGATATGTCAGCTCCGCTCCAAACTCATAACCGATGGGCACATAACCAGTTGTGCAGAATCTGCAAAGTGTGAAGTTGTGATGAGAGCGGGAATGCACATTGAGAAGAGAATGTAGAGCAAAAGGATGTTAAAACTTACCCAAGGAACCCGGCAGTGACGTAGACTAAAATCATGTTCCCACTGCCAATACTAAATGCAAACGCCACCATACCGAGGACGGCCAGAATGTAGACAACTATAGTTGTTTCCCTGAGACGACAAATAAAAACTCACGTAAGAATATGTCAGATCAGATAAAAAGGTAGAACTTCTTTTCTGCCACTCACTTGAATTTGTGCCACGTGTCCAAGACGAGTCCGCCCGCGATGGACCCCAGCACCCCCATCAACACCATGGTGAGGCCCACGCGGCCCGCGTCCTCTATCGCCGTCTGCAAAGGAATTTGACAAATCAGCTCATTTGACGATACACTGGCAAAGGAGACGCTGCGCCGCTGCTAAATTTCAGAGCTCAAAAACAGAGACCGCAGCACTCACGGGGAACTGGTCGAGAGGGAACTGGTTCAAGATGATCTGGTTGAGCAGCGTGCTGACGGCGTAGAAGGTGCCGACGTTCATGCCGTAGCTGAAGAGCAGCAGGATGTAGCTGGGGTTCGTCAGGAGCACCTTGATGGTCTCCAGGTACTGCAGGTTGGCCTTGGACGCGGCGCCGTCCTCGCCGCCGCTCGCGGTGCCCGCCGGGGCGTGGCCGTTGGCGCCGCTGCCGTTGGAGGCCTGCTGCTGCTTCAGCAGCGCGGCCTGCGCGTAGCTGGGCGGCACCGGGGGCTTGTTCTCGAAGACTGCGGGCAGGGCAGCGCCGAGAGGAGTTGTTAAGACTGGTCGGTAGAGGCGGCCAAAACTCTAGACGCGTTTTGAGCCCCAGAGTCGCTAAATGGGACTCGAACCGAACGTGTGACCCCACCAATGGATTCCTCGTTCGGAGAGCAATCCATTGGTGGGGTTACACGTCCGGTTCGAGTCCCATTTAGCGACTCTGGAGCTCAAAAACGCGTTCAGAGTTTCGGCCGCCGGCGTCGGGCTTCTGGCAAAGCCACTGTGCGCGTGTGGACTAGGCACTCACACAGCAGCAGCAGCACCAGGACGGCGGTGGGCACGGCGGCGAACACGTAGTACAGCAGCTTGAGGTCGGCGGTGATCTTCTGCAGGTCGGCGTGGTCACCCACCAGGGCGGGGGGGATGAGGAAGCCCAGGGCGATGCCGAGCTGCAACAGTGCACCTCCACTGTCAACACTCCGCACCTGCGCCATTCGGGGGCGGTTTCTCAGTTTCACAGTGCACCCACCTGGTTTCCGAACACGCCCACGGCGCAGGCGAAAGACACCTCCTTGGCGCCGAACCAGACGGCCGCCAGCCTGCCCGGCACGCCAAGCGTGAACATCTGGGCCACGCCGATCATGGTCTGGCCGATGAAGGCGATGTCGAAGCGGTCCGGGGCGGCGGACAGCACCTTGAGCCACGAGCCGGCGCACATCAAGGAGCACCCCAGCAGCACGGCGGGCCGGAGACCCTGCAGGGGGCGTGGTGAGTACACAGTGGGCCAGAAGACCGGCGGGGGCGGCCAAAACTCCGGATGCGTGCAGAACTCCGGAGTCGCTAAACAGGCCTCGAACTGAACGTGTGACCCCACCAATGGATTGCTCTCCGAACGAGGAATCCATTGGTGGGGTCACACGTTCGGTTCGAGTCCCGTTTAGCGACTCGGGGGCTCTGCACGCGTCTTTGCTCACCTTCTTCTCGATGACCCACGAGGCCGGGATGACGAGCGGCACGTAGGCGGCCATGAACACGATGGAGGTCCAGTTGATGGCCATGTCCGACACGCCGTAGTAGCGCGTCGCGATGTTGGCGATGATGGCGTACATGATCCAGTGCGCCGCGTTGGCCATGGACGTCACCGAGAACAGCGCCAGCATCACCCACCGCCGCTTCAGCACCCTCACCGGCTGCTCCCCCATGGCGGCGGCGGCAGCGGCCTCCGCTGCAAAGCAAAGCAGGCGGCATGGCCGAGGGGTTAGCGAGCCAGTCACTGGGACGGAAGGTTGATGGTTCGAACGACGTCGCCGCCATTCTTTTTCTACGTCTGTGGAGCGTCTGTCTGTCTGTCCGTTGTCTGTCTTTCTGTCTGTCCGCTCGTTATCGTCACGCCGTCACCGAAACGAAGACATTTGCTTTCCGCGAGTGCCCAGCTGCACAGCACGGACGCGTGCGAGATTCAGATTCGGGTTAAGCAGATAAAGTGGCTCCTAAAATGAGGCTGCCAGAAGCGGTTCGGAAGAGAGTCGCGACACATGACGAAGTTTAAGACGCCGTCCAGACACCGATAAAAAGTAAGGGGAGAGCCAGACGGCGCGGAATGAGAATGCAAAATCAGTGTCGCCTGCACCGATTGTGGACACTTTCGGTCGCAACCGGTCGACCTCAGATTCAGACTACCTGGCAGTCTTCGCCGAGGCCTCACCTTGACCGCGGATAATCTCGAGCGCACAAACAACAACTTGGTTCCGTTCCGGAGGGGTTGCAACACTGTTAAGAATAACGCCCATCAAAAATCACCAGTTTTTTTTTTGCGAAACTTCAAGGGTAAAAGTCGGTATTTTCTTTAAAAGCCCCGACAAGCCCCTGGGTCCAGGGCCGTAGCTGCCGGGGGGGGCAGGGGGGGCAATGCCCCCCCCAACTTTTGGCCAGGGGGGGCAAGGAATCTGGCCAGGTGCAAGCAATGTAGACACAGAAATGTACGAGAATACCTTTTAAAAAAGTGTAAATAACCCAAAGAACTGCAAATTTTCTCAGCTCGCTTCGCTCGCAAATAATTTACATTTACCAGCCTATATATCCCTAAGAACCGCAAATTTTCTCAGCTCTCGGACAAACACTGACCACCCTAGTAAGTCGTAAGAACCGCAGATTTTCTCTCTTCCCGCGCGAGCTCTGTTTGCTCGCAAACAAATTACGCCGTTTACCACTCTAAAAAGTCCTAAGAACCGCAAATTTTCTCAGCTCGCTTCGCTCGCACACGTTTACCACCAAGTAACCCTTAGAACCGCAAATTTTCTGAGCTCGCTTTAATTGCAAACAAATTACGTTTTCCACCCTAAAGCCCTAAGAACCGCAAATTTTCTCAGCTCGCTTCGCTCGCACACGTTAGAACCGCAAATTTTCTGAGCTCGCTTCGCTCGCTAACAATTTACATTTACCACCCTTTTAATACATTCAATCGTGTGTTAAAAATTGAAAAAGCACCTGCGGGACCCCCTGATAGGTAGGCAACCTTCAATGCAGACAAAAATTTGCCCCCCCCTGGCGCGAGGAGGCGGCTACGGCCCTGCCTGGGTCGGAAGAAGGGGAGTGGGGGTGAGACAAGGGAGCGTGAATCAGGGGGCCACTCGTTCGAAAAGGGCGGCACACTGCTTCCTTCCGAACGGTGTGCCAGACAGAGACAGAGCCGCCCGGAGGCCCCGAAGGTAAGCAGTGTTTGCTTGCTCGGCTCGGCAGCGCCATGGCAGCGCCTACACGTGTAATCCTTCCTCCCTCATCATGCAGTCGCGGCGCGACCGCGCGTCGCTCCGTCTCTCTCGCACTCGCGGGGCGTCCCTCAGGGGGTGCGAGGGAGACGGAGTGCCAGGCGACGCGTTCGCAGGTTTCGTCAGATCATCCCGGCTTTGGGAGAGGAGAGGAGAGGAGAGGAGTCCTACGGCGGCAGCGGCAACTTGGCGGCACAATATTGACACTCAGACAACCTTTAAGAAATGTAGCGGGGCGTGCGACAGAGAGGACGAATTCCCCCCCTTTTCTCTGTCTTTCTCTCTGTCTCTCTCTGTCTCTCTCTGTCTCTCTCTGTCTCTCTCTGTCTCTCTCTGTCTCTCCGAGGTGCGTGAAAACACACAGAATGAAGCCGCTGATTTCACGAAAGCACCACTTTCCGAAGGCCATCCACCCTGGACACTCTCTGGGATTAGGAAGGGAGCAGGCAGGGGCGGAAAGATGGGGGGGGGGGGGGCCACCGTCCGCCCCACCGTCTCCAGGACGTGCCTGGGCCTCCGGGTCCCCCGGAGGGAGCGCGGGGTATCGAACTAGAGGCCATTACATAGTGGCGGACGCATAACAGACGAAAAACTAAAAAAAAAATCTTTTTTTTACCCCACCAGTGGCAACACTGAGCAAAATTCCCCCCAACTGACAAGTTTTTTTTTTCACTGAGGCGATTTGGGAAAGTCTTCTTACCCTCTCTCGTTGACAGCACCATCGCCGGCGAGCAGCCCGAGAGCACTGAGTGCAACGTCCATGCTTGGCGAACCGCGGGGAAGTGGCCAACGAGTGCGTCAAAACGGCAATTGGAGTAGCGCCACTATCTCGCCAGCTATTTCAGGAGTGCAGGTGATGCCACAACATCGCCATGGCAACAGGACCGGGGCGCTACGTGTACTTCATTTTCTTTTCGGCCTTAATTTCAGTTGCACTAAAAGGCACTTGAAATGTTTTGCGAAGAAAATGGACTGAATATTAAAACAACCTCCTCCTTGGAAAAATAAACGCCTGCGAACTGCTGCTGGGCAGACCCGCAGTGCACGCGAGCGCAGTGGGTTGCCTATCCTCCCCCTGGGGCAAAAAAACGCCTGCGAACTGCGGCTGCATGAGAGAAGGGCGCCCTGGAGAAGAAGCGAGAAGGCGCTCGGACGCCGCTCTGGCCAATGGGGGACCAGCTGGAGGGCGCAAATAAAGTGCCACGAACTTGGTACTAGTCTCGTTCGATGCGCAATCAAATTTTCTATGGAATGATACCTGTCGCAAGGCTGTGGACCCAACCGTTTCCGAGCGCGAGCCTCAGAAGACCGCGAAAAAAGCTGCGGCGGACGCGTCAACATGGCCCCATGTTAAAGGATAGGCCGCCGGACGCAAGATTCTGCCGCTTTTGCAGCTTTACATGGACGCCAGAGCCATATTAATAGAGATATCTTAACGCGGTAAAGTTCAGAGCGTAGCTTATACTTCAAACTAAAATTTTGCAAAGTATGGGCAATGCGGTGAGGCTTGCTGGCGGCCTGTCGTCCCGCATGTGTCCATGTTGACGCGTCCGCCGCAGCACGTTTCGCGGCTTTTCACGGTCTTCTGAGGCTCGCGCTCCGAAACGGTTGAGCCGACATCCCCCCGACAGGTATCATTCCATAGAAAATTTGATTGCGCATCGAACGAGACTAGTACCAAGTTCGTGGCACTTTATTTGCGCCCTCCAGCTGGTCCCCCATTGGCCAGAGCGGCGTCCGAGCGCCTTCTCGCTTCTTCTCCAGGGCGCCCTTCTCTCATGGCGGCTGGGCAGTCCCGCAACGCAGGCATGTCCAGCGGATTGCCTACCCTCGGCCCCGGCTAGCGCCTGCAATCCAGCAATAGGCAGACCCGCCACACTACGCTGCTTTGCGGCACTGCCTACCCAGCCAGGCGCTCGCCGCGGAAAACAGTCCAGCGCTGCTCCAAAAGTAGGCAACAAAAATTTCCCGCGATGCGCCAGGTGTGGAAAGTGTCACGAGTCCTGGGTTTCGCTCCGGAGAAGTCGCTCAGAAGTCAGGCTAACCCCCTGACAGTGGCGTGGCTGGGCCTTACCTAGGTCAGCGGGTGACATCCGGACTCCAACCATGGTTGCCACAGGTCGGCTGCGCGCGCTTCCAGCTTCCAGCCTTCGAGCTCCAGAGACGCGCACACTGCCGCACACTGCCCGAGCGAGTCGGCAGAGGATCGAGTCGGCAGGTACCCGTCAGGCCCACTGGGCTAAGCCAGGGCTGCGCAGCCAGCTCTCTCCGACGCGAGCATCCCGCGACTGTCAGCTGTCGGACCGAACTGCAGCCAAGCCAAGCGCTGCGCTGCGAAGCGGTGTTCTCCAACCAGACCAGCCTCCGCGACTTGGGTTGGGTTGGGTTGGGTCTCGGGTCGGCTTCTTTAGGCCTCGGCCGGGGACTGGGACAGCCGCCCTACAGGCCGCCGCTGTCTTCGAGACTTCGATACGAGTCTCGCGGTCACCGCAGAATCCACGGCAACCCGTTTCCAGGTGTGTGTGTGAGAGAGAGAGAGAGAGAGAGAGAGAGAGAGAGAGAGAGAGAGAGAGAGAGAGAGAGAGAGAGAGAGAGAGAGGGGGGGACAAGGAGACCATCATTGTGTGTGTGTCATTGTGGAGCCACGGCGTTATTTTGGGATTCTTAATGCCGTAGCATTTTGAAAGGCAGACGGACAAGTATCGGATACTGGTACCGGCCGGCAGACTGACCTCTGGGAAAGGGGGGGGGGGCTGTCCGCGCACACTTTTAACCCAGTAAAATTCACCCACCCCATTTTTCCGTTCCCAACACGAAACAACAAAAACAAAAGACAGACAAAAAACACTGGCGTTACGTAAGGCAGCTAGATGGAGCCGCTAATTGCTCAGCGCTGTCCCCAATGAAGGGATCCCGACTTCACGAAGTAGGGCAAAACAAAAGCCAAAACACGCAGCTGCGCGCCCGCATATCCGCCACCACCGCCACCAAGTGTTGCCACACGAGTAGGCGGAAACTCCCACGATGCCCCAGTGTCCAAAGGGTTGCCAACCTCAGCCTGCTTACCGGGCAACTCCTCGAGATCAAAGCCCAACGCGAGCAGCAGGTGCTGTCTTGTGCACTTGGTAGTCGCACTTGCTGCAAGTGTCTCCCCCCCCCCTCTCTCTCTCCCTCTGACTCAGACAAACGCAGCTTGTGCGCCGCTAACTCCAGAGCGTCGTGTTTCGACTAAGTCAGCCAGCCTCGGGCGCACCAAAGGAAGCACGGAGTGGGTGTCAATCTCCTTGAACAACGAGAATTAAGCCCAGTTGCCCCAGCAGTAGGCGCGGTTCAGTGCAGTCCTCTCTTTTAATTGCACTTCGCTCGCTCGCTCGCTCGCTCACTCACTCACTCACTCACTCACTCACTCACACGGGCAAAGTAGCGCTTTTAGCCCGGGGTTGAAGTGTTGCTTTTTGTCTACTCCCCCCCCCCCTCTCTCTCTCTCTCTCTCTCTCTCTCTCTCTCTCTCTCTCTCTCTCTCTCTCTCTCTCTCTCTCTCAGGAGGAAGTCCGCTCTACTCCAGTCCGAACTCGTGTCAGTAAGGCGCCTCGAGCTCACGGTCAAGGATGCAAACGCACTGTTCTTATCAAGGACCAACACACACTCGAGGCAAAAAAGCGGTGTCTGCCGGCGATACCCCGCGCGAACAGAGTCGGCCCATTCATACCGAGAGTCTCTGGCGCGCAGAGTAGCGACGCAGCGACGCGCACGTGGCTCTCAAGCGTCTCGACTCGCGCTCTCAGCTCAAGCACTCGTCGCAGATTAAGGAACTCGCACGAGGAGCAAGGGACTATCGGCACCGATTGGGCAGCCCTCAATACGCTATCGTGCCAACAGTAAAGTAGCCTACATAGTAAGTAACCTTCACTAGAAACAGTGCAGCTAGGCCTAAAGTCGTCTGGTGGGATGGACATTTCTCTAGCAGCGCCTCGGACGAAGAACAAGAAGAAGAACATGGTCTGGATACCGAGAAATCGTCCTTTTCACTGAAGGGTTTAGGCTAGTTTACGTCACACTCGATCGTAACGGTCAGCACTCTAAAATTTTTGTTTCCCAAACGAATACACATCATCCACAAATAAGCGACGTTTGGCATCTCTTTCCAGTCGGTGTCCTTCCCCTTCTTCTTCGCTAGGATGATTGGCAGACAGTCCGATCGGAACCAAGCGAAGTGGTAAAGTGCGTGAAGGAGGTGGAAACGAGTGCATGACGTGAAGAAGTAAGGTGCAGAGAGAAGGAGAAAGGCAAGCACCCTCCGGTCCCAGGTCAGAATACAGGCGGAAGCGAGAAGAAACCGCTCCGCTGTGCAGCATGTCGACAGTGCCCTCCGAAAAGCATTGTTGGCGCTACCCCGCGCGGGGGGCACACTAGCGCGGGGTGTCGCCGCCACGGCGGGGCGGCGCGGCGGGCAAAGCGAACCGAGCGAGTCGGTGCACCAACCGTAGTCATCCAGCTCCACCTCCTCCTCCTCAGCCGTGGGCACGGCGGTCCACTGGCGCGGTCCATCCTGGCGCACCTTGGCCATGTCACAGTGGGGCGGCTAGACGGCCTAGACGGCCTGGACGGTCGGCAGCAGCGTCGTCATGGCGACGGTCGCGTCGCGCGGCGCGGGGGTGGCCGTCGGGCCGCCGTTGGCGCGGTCGCCGTGGTCCTAGTCGGCGAGGCTGGCCGCCCTGGGGGCAGCACTGCGGGCAGACACGGCGGGCTGAGCAATGCACGGCCTGCACGGCCAGCACGCGGAGCGAGGACTGCAGACAGCAGAGATACCGCGCGACCGCCGCGCCCGGCCCGGCGGGGACGCGCAGAGGCCGCCGTCAGAGGCCGCCGTTGGCCGGCGTATCGCGCTGCCCGAGTACGGGGATTACCGAGGTCCGCGTCGTGGAGGCAGAGCCGGCAGAGTAAACCGGCGGCGCTCCCTTTCATCTCCCGCCTCCGTCGCAGTGGGCCAGAAGACCGGCAGAGGCGGCCGAAACTCTAGACGCGTTTTGAGCTCCAGAGTCGCTGAATGGGACTCGAACCGAACGTGTGACCCCACCAATGGATTGCCCATTCGGAGAGTAATGCATTGGTGGGGTCACACGTTCGGTTCGCGTCCCATTTAGCGACGCTGGAGCTTCAACACGCGTCTAGAGTTTCGGCCGCCTCCGCCGGTCTCCTGGCCCACTGTGCGTGCTGGCGGAGTCCGCGAGGCCCAAGGCCAGCCCACGTGCGCGCCACGTGGTCCGCTGGTCGTCGTGCTCTATCGCCCCGCGAGCCATTGTCACACGTGTCACACCTGCAGCCTCCGTCTCCCTCGCACTCGTGCAGTGTGCAGAGAGGGTGCGAGGGAGACGGAGCGACGGAAACAATGCTCGGCATCAGTCTGCTGAGTCACTGGGTAACAGGCAGGCCACCGGGAAGTTACCTCACGTTGACACTGCAAGTAGGCAAAACGCACTGCTCCACCCTTTCGACCCCCTCCAGGGAAGTCCTGGATCCGCGTCCGCGCCGCGCAGTGGGCCAGAAGACAGGCGGGGGCGGCCAAAACTCCAGACGCGTTTTGAGCTCCAGAGTCGCTAAACAGGACTCGAACCGAACGTGTGACCCTACCAATGGATTCCTCGTTCGGAGACCCGTCCATTGGTGGGGTCACACGTTCGGTTCGCGTCCCATTCAGCGACTCTGGAGCTCAAAACGCGTCCGGGGTTTTGACCGCCTCCAGCGGCCTTCGACCTAATTACTCACTGTAGGCCCGGCCGGGGGCAGGCGGGTGGCATGCTTCCGGTGGGGCTGAGGGGCGAAGCCGCGAAGCGCGATCTGGTCAAGGTTGGGGGAGGCCGCGGCGCGGACTAGTCACGCCGACACCGTGCTTCTCGCTGCGAGGACCGACGTCGTCTGGCCGCCGCGACGCGGCTCGCGGGCCTCCGGTCTCACCGCGTCGCTCTGTCTCTCTCGCACCCCCGCGGCACGCTGCGGCACGCCCCATCAGTGCGAGAGACACAGCAGAGTGGGGCCGCGCCGACCGAACCGCGTTCGAACAGCATACCGCGCCGGGTCGCGCAAAAACAAGCGAACGCCGGACGCGGTCTTCGGCTAGAGGTAGCCTCGCAGCGGCACTGTGCACCGATTCCGAGAGGCGTTTTCACCGCTCCGTCTCTCTCGCACCCACACGGGACGCCCCGCGAGTGCGAGAGAGACAGAGCGACGGCTCTCGGAATCAGTTGCTGGTATCGTTTGCAGAGTTCAGCTTCGTCACGGCCAGGACCGGCAGGACGCCGCAGCATTATCAACCAGTAGACTTGTTCCGAGAGTCGTTTTCGTCGCGCTGTCTCTCTCGCACCCACACGGGACGCCCCGCGAGTGCGAAAGAGACAGCGCGACTCGCGGCATCAGTGTGCAGAGCACGCCCCCGCCGCGTCATCCCGCGGCCGACGGTCCCCAGCCACCAAGCCGGCGTCTGTCTCCGTCGCACTCACGCACCCGTCGGTGGGACAAGGACACGACATGCTTGATCCTCGGCGAGATTTCCAAACGCGACAAATCGGACGGCGCCGCCAAACTACACAAATGGTTCGCGCGATTGGCGCCTATGCCCAGCGCCGCCCAGCGCACAGTGGGCCAGAAGACCGGTGGAGGCGGCCAAAACTCTAGACGCGTGCAGAGCTGCAGAGTCGCTAAACGGGACTCGAACCGAACGTGTGACCCCACCAATGGACTCCTCGTTCGGAGAGCAATCCAATGGTGGGGTCACACGTTCGGTTCGAGTCCCATTTAGCGACTCTGGAGCTCAAAACGCATCTAGTTTTGGCCGCCTCCACCAGTCTTCTGGCCCACTGTGCCTCGCCAGAGTTCGCTGTGAAACCGGCTGATTCCACACACCGCTGCTGACGTCACGCTGTCTCTCTCGCACCCACGGGGGCAATGGAGACAGCGGCCAAACCAAGTGTGCCATTCGTCTGCAAAGACGACAGGCTTCGCCAGGTGTCGGGCTCAAGCCAACCCCGCTGATGGAAATTTTACGATCTTATGTTTGAGTAGTGCGTGATATTCGATCAGGCTTTGAAAAATTAATCCCCCCCAGAAAAATTGATTTATGAGCGCGAGAGAGACAGCAACAACACGACCTAACCAGGCCGCCGCTCTGCCAACACGACGCCGCTGCGATGCTGGTCCATTGTCAACACCAAGACGCCCCGGTACATTCACACTCGAAACCGCCACCGACAGTCACGCCGCGACGCCGCGGCCGTGCCTGGCTCTGCCACCAAAGGTCGCTGGCCGCGCACTCTTTTTGGCACGGCCGGTCCCAAATAGACACGCTGCCAGCCACGCGCCAGCGCTGCCAGCCCTGCAGACTGAGGGTCTGCTTCGTCGCTGTCTCCCTCGCACCCACACGGGACGCCCCCGTGAGTGCGAGAGAGACGGATGAGTCAGGCCGCAGAGGGCGCCATAACCTCAACGGCGGCGTGCGGACTGGGCGCCCTGGGTGCTGTGACCCCGCGGAGATGAACAGACCTGGACCAACACTCACTTTGCGGTTCGCGGGCAGGTGGCCGACGCGCGACGGGCCGAGGACGGCGACGCAGGTGGCTCGGTGCTGGCGGCAAGCTGGCGGCCTCGGCGGCAGTGACGGCGAGCTTCGACGCAACGGGGATGCTATTGACAGAGGTCTTGGCCAGCAGCACAGCAGCACGGCAGCGGTTCGGGCGCCACCTACACCTACGGCGCCATGTTTTGGGGGCGCTGCCGCCGCCGCCGCCACCGCCACTGCGGTCGTTTCCGGAACCACTGCCGTCGGCTCGCGTCGCTCTCGGCCTCTCGGGGTGGCGAGCGGCAGGGACGCCTCTCGGAAGCACCTCGCTAGGGCTGCGCGCGCAGGTCGCGGAGAAAAGCGTGGCACGGCGAACGCCCGAAGGGGAAGGGGTGGGGGTGCTGTGAGGATCAGCTGGGCGCAGGCCCGCAGCCCCCACGGCCCGCCCCCACGGCCCGCCCTCACCCCCACCCCGACCCGCCCCCTCATGCACTGACCCGAGTGCTCCTCTGGCGTTGTTCAGGCTCTATGAGACAAGTGGGCTGTTCAACGAAAATTGAGGTTTTGACCATTTCTTGTCCTAACACTGTCCTGCCCGAATACCGGCAAAATACAAATACGCAGACGAGCGCACTCAATGTTGGCGGTGTTAAAAAGTTAGCATGTTAAATTAGCTGAACCCGTTAACACGTTCACTACCAAGTGATATTAAAGGAATGGGAAATCGCGGCAAGGAACGAGAACAACGCAGCGAACGTGTTAACGTCAAGGCTTTTAACGAGTTAGCGAGGATTTTTTAAACGGCGTTAAATAACTTGGTTAATCGTTGACTTAACAGGACTGGACTGAGGCAGCGTTAACGTCGTTAACGTCGCAAGCAGGTGGCGAAGTGCACCGCGACTAACACTCACCCTTGGGCAGCAGAGGCGTCCTCTCGCCCGGCTCGCTGGGCCCCGCCGTCAGCTCCCCATGCTGTGACCCAGTCCGGTGGCTCCTCAGGGGGTGGGGGTGGGGGTGGGGCGCGGAGCCCCCGCTGCCCCCGCTGCCCCCGCTGCCCCCGCTCTCGACCCCGGTCGTCATGGCAACGCGTTGGCGCCGCCTCGCGCTGCCAACACACGCGCAGCTTTCAACACAAACACATTGTAAAGTCGACCGAACCAAAGGTCTCGTTTCTCGCGACCGTCACAAATACGCCCTCCACAGGGCCAGGGAGAACGCGGGGGCTGGTGCGGGAGGACTTTCGAGGTGGAGGGGGCAGTTTTGACGGTCGCAACCTTTGGCTGGGTCGACTGTAGACGCGGCGGTAGCAGTGTGGCGGGAACAGAATTGACCCCGGAGGTACCCCGCGCGCGAGGGACTTTGAACACGGCGATGAGCGTCTCAAAGTCTCCCGCGCGCGGGGTATCGCCTGCTTCGCCCAGGTCAGTTCCCTGTTCCCTGGCGGCACAGCGGCACGCGCCAGGACAGGGCGTCGCCGCGCCCGACGCGGTAGGCAGCCCACCTCACAGCAGTGTTGCCACACGCGGAGGCGGAAATTCCCTCGACGCACCGGCGACGAAAGGGTTGCCAACATCAGCCTGCCTACTAGGCAACATCCCGACAGCGATCCCAGACATTGCCTGGCAGTAGGGACCCTCTCTGTGAGAGATGGGTCAGGCTGGCGGCCTCCAGCCAATCACAGACCTCGGGTGTAAATGGGCCCTACCTGGCAGGCAGGCTGCGGTGGGCAGGGACATCGACGCTGGCGCGTGGCGGGAAATTTTCGCCTACGCGTGTGGCAGCGCCGCATTCAAATGAATGTTACAGCACGCCGCGAGGAACAGGCGCGCGGCGCGCAGAGCAAGCCGCAGCTGCGACTTCTTCCTCGTCTTTCTAAAACTCGACAGGGAATCCAGCAAAAACAAGTTCACTAAGCCGCACCTTCTTCCAAATAGTCCTTTCATTTTCCTTCCAAAAAGTTAAGTTGCTGGAAAACGTGGTGGGTTTTTCGCAAGGCCGCTCCTGGACTTTAATTTTAACCAGGGCTATCCGTCGCGGGGGAACTGTACTTACTGCGCATTATTTCGGCGGTTTGAACGTACCTGGGAAGGGACTCCGGCGGTGCAGTCTCACATTGGGCTGGGTCGGGTATCCGCGGCGGGGCAGGCCGCCGACTGCGGCCGACTGCGCGGCCTGTCCGGTTTGGTCCGGGCGGACTCGGAGACTCGCGCTGCTCGCGCTGCCAGCGGCCGGCTGGCAGGCTGGCAGGCACGCCCAGCACAACCAGCACGCCAACCTGGTCCAGGCAAAGCCGGCCAAAGCCGACGGCCGAAGCGAAAAAGGAACGACGCGGAAAAACGAAAGGACGCACCGGTCCAGTGCGGCGGAGACACGCAGTGTTGCCAACGCACGTCGACATTCCTACGATGCACCAGTGTCGGAAGGGTTGCCAACCTCAGCCTGCCCACTAGGCAATACCTGGGCCTCGCTAGCGAGGAGTTGCCTAGTAGGCAGGCTGAGGTTGGCAACAATGAGGCAGCACCGCGGAAGACCGCCTCCGGCCAACAGCTGACTCCACACACACGTCGCCGTCGTCGCTCTGTCTCTCTCGCACTCGCGGGGGCGTCCAGTGTTCCGTGCGGGTGCGAGAGAGGCAGAGCGACGGACGCCGTGAGGAATGAGACGATATCGGGGACGATACCGCTTGCATCGCGCAGGCCGACCTTGCCTTGGACCTTGCGACCGCACGTTCAATAAACAAAGTGTACAGAGTACAGTGTCAACTTGCTATTCCCCAAGGGCGAGCTTCTGTAGGATACACTCTAAAAACAAAAATGTCTGTAAATGTTGACGCAAGGGGCCTTTCGCTCCGGCTTTCCCGCACGTGCTGCCCTGCAGACTGATTCCGAGAGTCGCTTTCGTCGCTCTGTCTCTCTCGCACTCGTGGGGCGTCACTCAATCCGTTACAGGTGCGAGTGAGACAGCGGAGGAAGCGGTTCTCGGAATAAGTCTGGTACGCAAACACGCGTCACGAGGAACTGAACTGCCCACTCTTTCAATTGGGCTAAGTGTTTCGCGGCCCTCTTCCTGAGGCTGGCCTTGAAGGGGTCATCGATTTGCGATTCAGACGGGGTGAACCTGAGGCGGCAGACCTGTGGGAAGCCTCGAAGTCACCGGAACGGTGGTTCGAACCTCCGCGCCGTCGATGAGCGACCATGAAGCCGAACCAGAAGTCCTCGCAGTGGCCGTGCCCCCAGCACCTCAAACCCAAAGTGTGGCCGGGGTACCACCCGAGGTTCAACCCGTCGCGCTCCCCCACCGTGGCGACCATCGCCTGGCCGCCCTCGCCGCCAGGTAGGCCAGGGCCGACGACAGTGGGCCAGAAGACCGGTGGAGGCGGCCAAAACGCCACACGCGTTTCGAGCTCCAGAGTCGCTGAATGGGACTCAAAACGAACGTGTGACCCCACCAATGGATTGCTCTGCGAACGAGGAATCCATTGGTGGGGTCACACGTTCGGTTCGAGGCCTGTTTAGCGACTCTGGAGCTCAAAACGCGTCTTGAATTTTGGCCGCTTGCGTGGCCCACTGCACGCCAAACCCCTGTGAGAGTCGGGGTAGGCACCCCGGCCGGCGCCGCTGCCCGACGGGCTGCCTACCTCCCCGACTGCAGGGGCCTTCTGTGCGTTCCAGGGTCCGACGAGGAGCCCGATGACCACCCCTCCGACGTCCTGGCCTACGACCCCGCGCTGCTCAAGAACAACGCCCTGGCCTCCACCGTGGTCGTCATGGCCTTCATGGGGGTCATGCCGGTCCTCATCAAGACGAAAAGTACCCCGTTCTCGGCGCTGGTCTGCCCGAAGGGTCGATCCCCACGGTGTGCCAGTGTCGAAAGGGTTGCCAACCTCAGCCTGCCTACAAGGCAATTTGTCTTTAGCGAGTCCAAGAAGCCCCAGGCTGAGGTTGGCATGGCAGCCCTTTCGACGCTGGTGCATCGTGGGAGTCTTCCCCTCACGTGGCAGCACTGCCGCAGGGTTCTGCCTCCGCTCCACGCTGCCGCTGTGCATGCTGGCGTACGCGGCGCTCTGGTGCTCCGCGCTGCACATCCTGGTGCACAAGGTGCCCGTGGCGCTGGCCGGCGACCTGGACATGGACGTCCGCATGCTGGCCATCGAGGTGTCGGTGCACCTCGTGCCGCTGTGCTACGTCCCCGTCGTCTGGCTGCAGTCCAGGAACATCTCGCGCATCACCGTCGCCTACTTCAAGTTCCGGGTGCGTCTTTGTGTGTTTCGGCCCAAGACGCGTTTTGAGCTCCAGAGTCGCTAAATGGGACTCGAACCGGACCAATGGATTGCTCTCCGAACGAGGAATCTATTGGTGGGGTCACACGTTCGTTTCGACTCCTATTTAGCGACTCTGGAGCTCAAAACGCGTCTGGAGTTTTGGCCGCCTCCACCGGTCTTCTGGCCCACTGAGTGCCCAGCGAGTAACCCTTCCCTCGACCTCTTCCAGAGCGCCATTATGAGCCCCGCCGACCGGGCCCAGCTCGGGCGTCGTCGGCTGGTGTACGCGCTCTGCACGAGCGTGTTCGCGGGGACGGCCATCGCGCTGGTGGTCGGCGCCGCCCTGTTCGTCCCCGAGCTGCACGTCACCGTCGTGGACATTCCCGTGCTGGCCTACACCAACCTGGTGCAGACGGTGCTCTGGTGGAACATGGCCATCCAGCTGCTGCAGTCCAAAGTCATGGGCCAGAGCGTGCTCGCCAACCTGCAGAAGGTACAAAATCCTCGACGCGTTTTGAGCTGCAGAGTCGCTAAATGGGACTCGAACCGAACGTGTGACCCCACCAATGGATTCCTCTTTCGGAGAGCGATCCATTGGTGGGGTCACACGTTTGGTTCGAGCCCCATTGAGCGACTCTGCAGCTCAAAACGCGTCGAGGATTTTGCCCGCCTCCACCGTGTGGTGCCCCAGCTGGCCGGCAGCGGGGCGGTGACGGCCGCCGCCGTGAGGGCGAACCGCGGCCACTGGGTGAGGGTGCGCGACATGCTGGGCTACGACGACGTCAAGGCCAACGCCGTCTACGTCCTCAACATGGTGTACCTGCTGGCCCAGTGCACCATGGTGTCCTTCGAGACCATGTCCTTCTACTCGGCGGGCAACCGGTGGGCCTACACCATGCACGGCGTGTTCGCGGTCATCTACCTGCTGGAGATCTGCACCCTGTGCGACTTCGCGCACCGCGCCGTCGAGCTGGTATGGCGACCCGGTCTAAACGGTCGAAACCCCGGACGCGTTTTGAGCTCCAGAGTCGCTAAATGGGACTCGAACCGAACGTGTGACCCCACCAATGGATTGCTCTCCGAACGAGCAATCCATTGGTGGGGTCACACTTTTGGTTCGAGAGTTGTTTAGCAATCTGAGGCGCAAAACGCGTCTTGGCCGCGTCCACCGGTCTTCTGGCAAATCCACTGTGGGGTGGAGCTCAAGTAGCTCGGTGTCGATCCCCAGATGACGGACCCGTTCGTGGCCACCCTGGACACACTGTCTCTCAACGACTTGGACAGGGAGACGCACACCGAGGTAGGCCTATTTCGTGAGGACCTGACGCGATATTTCGAAATCGACCTTTTGTTGGCAACTATTTCGAACAGGTGTGCTTCTTCTACAACACCATCATCGCCAAACGGCCGTACTGCTCCATTCGCGGCTTCGCTTGCTTGGACCGACCGTTCCTGGCGTCGGTGAGTGTTATCATTTTCACCCGGCGATAACTTTCCGTGTCAATATGGACCCGGTGGACTTTTCTATTTGCCTCTCGCTGCAGATCATCACCACCATCGTCTCCTACCTCATTTTCCTGGCGCAGTTTCGGGCGGAGGACGAGGAGGACGAACTGGTACCGACGACAACCACGCCCCTGTGACGTCTGCCTTCGTTTATTTACAGTGTCAACGATAAAATTAAAATTATTGTCTTAATCTAGTCGAGGCAGTGTTGCCCCACAACCCAGCAGGGTCGACTTCGGCCTGTCCGGCCTGCCCACTGGGCAATGTCTGAGCGCTTCTCTCGAGAAGTTGCCTAGTGGGCAGGCTGTGGTTGGCAACGTGGTGCATCAAGGTGGGCACACTGCGTCAGGGCCGTCAGGGCCGTCAGGGCTGTCAGGGCCCGATGAACCTCGGGCACAGCTTCTCGGCGTTGTGCCTGGACTTGACGTAGTCCGCCACGCCGGGCAGCGCGTCGACGCGGCGCCGCAGCGCCTGCAGTGCGGGGTAGCCCTCCAACACGTTCTGGCGCAGCATGGCGTCGAACCACGTCAGCGGCGCGCAGAAGTACACGTCGGCCCACGTCAGCTGCACCGGAAAAACAATCAAGATTTTGGTCGTTTTTTTTTTCAAAGAACACAAGCGAGGGTCGCACCTTGTGGTTGGCCAGGTAGCCGCCGTTGGCCTCGGCCATGGCCTCGAACTTGCTGAGGTAGAAGGGCGCCGTCTTCTCCATCAAGGGCCTCAGCTTGGTGGCCTTGGTCTCGGGGTTGGCGTCGTAGAACCAGTCGGCCACGGCTGCCGGAATAATGCCAGAGGAACCATCTCAACCACTCTCACAAACTCAAGAGTAGCACGACTGGCTTCAACCTGAAGCATGCACAGTGGACCACAAGACCAACAGTGGACCAACGTTCGAGGTATCGATTCGTACCCGCGCGGAGGTCGTTGAAGGTCTCGACGACGATGTCGATGTGCAGGCACTCCTCGGGGGTGGCGCCCTGCAGGCCGACCTGGCCGGCGAGGTAGCGGCAGATGGCGCGCGACTGCGTGTACATGACGCCGTCCACCTCGAGCACGGGCATCGTGCCGAACGGCATCTCTGGAACGGGGAGGCAACGCGGCGGTGCACTTTGCCAGAAGACCGGTGGAGGCGGCCAAAGACGCGTTTTGAGCTCCAGAGTCGCTAAATGGGACTCGAACCGAACGTGCGACCCCACCAATGGATTCCTCGTTCGGAGAGCAATCCATTGGTGGGGTCACACGCTCGGTTCTGAGACGTACTCTTCTTGTGCTCCGGCCACTGCTTGGCGTCGATGCGGACGTCCTCGAAGGGGATGCGGCCGTAGTGCAGGAGGTAGCGCACGGGCTCGCCCAGCCCCGCCAGCGCGAAGTAGTGCAGGCGGTAGGAGGGGCGACCGGCCGCGCCGGGCACCGCGATGGGTGCGCCTGGCGCCATGGAGAAGCTCGCCTGGAGCCTGGAGGCCTGGAGGCAGCAGGCCAACCACGTCACACAAGGAGGATCTAGAATCAGCCAGAGACAGGGGGAAGCTCGCCTGGAGCCTGGGGGCCTGGAGGCAGGCCAACCACGTCACACAAGGAGGATCTAGAATCAGCCGGAGACAGGGGCAGTGTCGTAAAAATCACCCCAACTCACCCCACTCCGCTGAATGCGTACGTGCCTAGCCTAGCCTCACGGCACGGCGGTTTTCAAATACCGCTATCAATGTTATCTGGTCACTGGGTCATTGCTTCTGCACCAGCAGCCCACGCGAACAATCGATTTAATCAAACGATATCCCGGCCAAAGACCGACCAGGCCGCGAAGCCGCGAAGCCGCGAAGCCGCCAACACACTGTACGCCAGAGCGCGAGCCACTTCAGTGTTGCAACGAAAGTGGGCAAATCTCCGCATGATGCACCGATGTCGCTAAGGTCGACAACCTCAACCTGCCTACTAGGCAACTTCTCGAGAGAGAAGCCCAGTGCCTAGTAGGCAGGCTGAGGCTGGCAACCCCTTCGACACTGGTGCTCCGTGGTAATTTTCCCAAATTTCTGTAGTAGCACTGGCCGAGACAATAATTGGCCGCTTCACGACCGCGTTCAGGGGTTGGATTTCGGACTCGCCACCACTGGGCTCCTCACCTGAGTCTGGACAGCTCCGGCCGACACCGACCACACCGACCGAGGCGCGACGACGCTTGTGTGCCTGCCCCGGTCTGCCCGCGGGGGAGAGACTGCCAGAGACGGGGGCCTCGGCGGCCTGGCATCTGATAAGGTTGCCGACAAGAAAGAAGGAAGCCCTGAGTAAACCGCGTGCAAATAGCGGCCCGTCGCACCGAGCCTCGACACGCCGTGCACGGAGGCCCGCTCGTTCACTGGCAAGCTCAAGGACAACATTACGTCGTTTTACCCTATGTGAAATTCCGAGCGTTGGCAACCCTATGGTGCACCGCGGGCAGAGGAGAGGCGAGACGATAAAGGGAGGGGTGACGTGCTTCTCCTAAATGATGCATCATAAGTCGTCATAAGCAGGCGAAAATGCCCACGTTTCTCCAGTCCAGTGTCGAAAGGGTTGCCAACCTCGGCCTGCCTATTTGGGAATCTCTGCGTATTGTTAAGGTCAAGTAGGCAGGCTGAGGCTGGCAGCCCTCTCGACGCCAGTGCATCGTGGGAGTTTTCGCCAGCTTATGTGGCAAGGGGCTGCGGGGCAGGCCGGCCGGGCAGGGTGGGCATAGGCGCCGTCATTAGCCACTAGTCGTCGGGGAGGCGGAGGGAGGCCGCCGTCGGGGGCGTGTGTTTTGTGTTTTGTGTTTTGTGTTCCCACTTCCGCCGAGTGACGTTGACCTCATTCCGGCGGACAGCGCGCGGCAGAGCGGAGGTGCTTCCAGTGGCTCCTAGTCTGACGGCACCGCACAGTGGATGTGCCAGAAGACCGGTGGGGTCGGTCAAGCCCGGACGCGTTTTGAGCTGCAGAGTCGCTAAATGGGACTCGAACCGAACGTGTGACCCCACCAATGGATTGCTCTCCGGACGAGGAATCCATTGGTGGGGTCACACGTTCGGTTCGAGTCCCATTTAGCGACTCTGCAGCTCAAAACGCGTCTGGAGTTTTGACCGCCTCCACCACAGTGCTGGAGGCCCCCGCCCAGGCCGTCGACCACGCCACGCACCACGTGCAGCAGTCCTGCGTGTCCTTGGCAGTTGTCCGTTTTTCTGCGACCAACCACCGGCCGAGGCACTGAACCGCTTGCAACCAGTCGCGTCCGGTGCGTCCAGCAGCCAGCGGCAGCCAGCCCGCCGGCCGAACCGTGAGATCGCGCACCTGGCGTCCGAGGGTGGGGCGGCCGCCCTGCCGCCGCCACTGCCAAATTGAAGGCGGAGCGAGAGAGAGCGGCGCGGCCGGGGGCGGCGGCCGCAGGGTAGACAAAGACGGCGACAAATGAGCGCGCGGCGGTTCGGAGACAGGCGAAGTGCGAGGTAGATCAGCGCGTGCGTCAGTTCGGCCGCGGAGTCCTCGGGCAGCGCAGCGCGCCCTCCACGCACCCCGAGGCGGTCGACCTCCAGAGGGTTCGCCGGGACAGCGCTGACGGCCTGGACGGCGACCGACGGCGGCGGCGCCCAAATGCGGCAGTCCGAACCGGCGGACTGGTGTCACTGGTGTCGTCGCGGAGGGTCGACCACGGAGGCCGCGCGGCCAGCGCGCTCCGGAGCACGCCGTCGACGACAGCATCGCGGTGCCCGCCGCTGCCTCCCGGACGCCGAGCTGCCGGCCACGCCGCGCGTGCCGCCAAGGCGGTCCAGATTCGTATCGAGATTCGTATCGATAAGTGGGATTGCAATTGGATCGGCCGGTCGATGCGTCGACCGATAGCCCGGCGGCCGCTCCAGTGATTTCGGATTCGGGGAGGACGGCGCGGTGCTGCGCGGTGCTGCCTGCTACACTGTGAGGGTGAGTCATCGTGGCACGCGCCGGGATCGCGTTGAAAGCCGAAGCGGGGACACCTGTCGCGCGCCGGATGTGGCGATGTGGCGCCTGATTCGTTTTTCCGCCGCCGTGGCCAAACGATGTGAAAACGGCAACGGCCTAGCGATCTGCAGCGAGCAGTCGCCCGGCAGCCATGCACGCGTACAGGGTGATTCATCTCAACACAGATCATTAATGGCGGCCACCCGGTCGCACGCGCGCCCGGACGGTCGCACGGGTGGTCAAAGCCTCTAGACGCGGTTCGAGCAGCAGAGGGGGCTAATGGGACCAACCGACCTGCAGAAACCAACCAGTGTTTTGCTATGTTGGGGAATGCACATCCACGGTGGGGTAAGCGCAGGTCATCCGGGTTCGACGTCCTTCGCGGTTGGCGCTAAAGGGCCTGTTTGCGCGGGGATAGAAGTGTTCTTCGCGGTAACCGGGTTACCCCGGGGGTCGCCCACCCGCGATGCCTGCGTACTCTGCGAAGGGCTGTGGCAATCACCCCCAAGGAAAAAGCCTTCCAGCAGACGGGCCTGGGTTCCCCACACCCCCGGCCCTGCCGTCTGCCAGCGGACAGCGGGGCAGGGGGGCCCGGGCGAGCGGCCGGGTGGGGGGGCGCGTGAGAGCCAGCGTGCACATCGAATTCGCCGGAGGACACCTGTTAGGTGGTCAACAATCCCCAACCGCGGAGCGCCAAAGGGGCCGAAAAGTGGGGCCCTCCCGGCACCCGAGTCGTTGGGTGGAACCCCCCACCAATGGATTGCTCTTTCCCAAAGCAATCCATTGGTGGGGTCAAAAGTTTGATTCGAGGCCCGTTTAGCGACTCTGGAGCTCAAAAGCACTGTTCGCGGCAGGGATGGGGTCCTCGCCCAACTTCGGGGACCCCGCGTCGCCGCACGGCGTGGTGCGGCCTAAGGGGCTGTGGCGGCGCGCCAAGGACGCCTTCCAGCAGGAGGCCATGGAGTTCTGCCTCTTCACCGGCCTGCACGGCTACAAGTACATCGTGCAGCCCGGCAAGCACCGCGCCGAGCGGTGAGCCAGCACTGCACATTGAATTCGCCGGCGGACCGGTTGAGGTGGTCAAAATCCCGGACGCGTTTTGAGCTCCAGGGTCGATAAATGGGCCTCGCACCCGAACGTGTGACCCCCACCTATGGATTGCTCTCCGAATGAGGAATCCATTGGTGGGGTCAAAAGCTCGATTCGAGGCCCGTTTAGCGACTCTAGAGCTCAAAACGCGTCTAGAGTGTTGTTTTCTGGAAAAGCAAAGGCTTGGCGGTGTTGCAGCATGTTCTGGACGCTGACCGTGGCCGTGTCCATGGCGGCCGCCGTCTGGCTCATGATCGTGGCGTACGACTTCAACCGCAGCCACCCCACCATCCTGGCCGTGGACACGACGCACAACCCGCTGTGGAAGGTGGACGCGCCGGGCGTCACCGTGTGCCCCAGCAACAAGGTCTTCAAGTCCAGGGCCATCCGCCTCGTCCAGAGCCTGTGAGTCCCGCCTGCTCCGTCTCTGTCGCACCCGTGGGGCGTCCCGTAGAGGTGCGAGAGAGACGGAGCGAGTGAGGTTGTCCTCGCGTCGACAGGGACCTGCCCGCCGACGTGACCGAGGACGAGGTGCTGTCCGACCTCGGCCTCCTCGTGGAGCTGATCGCGCCCCGCGCCACCAACACCACGCCATTCACGCGCCTGCAGAACATCCTGGACAAGAACTCCCTCAGCGTGGACCAAGTGCTGCGGTGAGCGGCCAGAGACGCGTTTTGAGCTCCACAGTCGCTAAGCAGGACTCGAACCGAACGTGTGACCCCACCAATGGATTCCTCGTTCGGAGAGCAGTCCATTGGTGGGGTCACACGTTCGGTTTGAGGCCTTTTTAGCGACTCGCTGAAAGCTCTCTGCCCCTTCCTCAGGAGGGTGACGCCGACCTGCGACGAGCTGATGGTGCGCTGCCTGTGGAAGCGGCGGCAGTGCCTACACTGCTCCGACATCTTCCGCATGGTGCCCACGGCCTACGGCTACTGCTGCAGCTTCAACTACATGGACCGGGACATCCACAACTACAAGTACAAACGCCCTCAAAAAGCGGAAAGGCAACCGCTGTGCCGGGATTCGAACCCGCGATCTTTGTTCCAGGCCGCGCATCGGCGGCTGCGTCGGGGTGTCGTATCAGGACGTGCAGCGGCTGTCGGCGTGCGGCTACACCAACGGACTGTCGGTGACCGTGCGCATCCGGCCCGAGGAGTACATGTCCTCCTTCTTGGCCTCCCACGGCGTCATGGTACGGTCCCTCTCCCTCGATGCAACAGTGTCGAAAGGCGTGGCAACCTCAAGAGGTAAATAGGGAACGGTTCTGCTTGATTCAGGTGATGATCCACAACCCGACGCAGTACCCCGACGGCAACGCCGACCTCAAGGTCGTGGGCGCCGGGACGGTGTCCTTCATCTCCTACCTGGCGCAGGTGAGCTCCCCTACCGCTCCCCACGGAGAAGGGGTAGTAAGAAGGACGTCAGAGCAGTGGGCCAGAATACCGGTGGAGGCGGTCAAAGTCCCGAACGCGTTTTGGCCGCCTCCACCGCCCTTGTAACTGTTGAACGTCCCCCTTGCCTCCTCTCCGCCAGGTGACGCAGGCCACCAAGAGGCTCCGCAAGAAGGTGTCCGCCGACATCCGCAAGTGCCACTTCCCCGACGAGATGTTCCTGCCCATGTTCCGGACGTACACGTTCGAGAACTGCATGGCCTCGTGCCAGGCCAACCGGACGCTCGCCGTGTGTGGCTGCGTCCCCGTCACCTACCCGCCGATCCGTGAGTCCCACCCCAAGGAACACCGCACCACCACAGAGTTTCCACTTAGCTAAAAAGATGTTTTAACTTCCAGCCGATCGCAAAATCTGCAACCTGCTGGACACCCCGTGCGTCTCGGGGTTGGTCTGTGAGTTCTCGAGCCGTCGAACTAGCTCCTTCCGCTGACGAAGGCAATACTTTCTACGGGGGTTGGTCGGTGTTGAAATGGTTGCCTATCCCAGCGCGCCTGTTTGGCAATATCTGGGCTTTGAACTCAAGTGCCAAGTAGGCAGGCTGAGGCTCGCAACCCTTTCGACACTGGTGCGCCGTGGGTAGTTTTGCTTACTGAAGTGGCACTGACGTTTGGCCCGCAGCCGACCCGTCCCCGCAGCGCAAGGTGCTCAACGCGTCCATGTGCCCGCTCTGCCGGCCGCTCTGCGAGAACATCGAGTACTCCGTGGAGACGTCCGTCGGCGAGCTCGACTTCGAGTACGAGGAGGGCCAAGTGCTGACGTACGCCATTTCCACCATTTTCATCAAAGTAGCCCTCGGGCAAAGTGTGGCTTTTCGCACCAGGCGGGTCAAGCGGGAGGGGGTCCTGCTGCCCCCCTGGGGATCGCGGCTCACGAACGGCGGGCTAACGTCCCGTTGTTTACCGTTTGCAGACAGGGCCTCGGGCTCAACGAGTCCGAGTTCGCCATCTTCCACGTGTTCGCCAACGACCTGGTCACCACCATGTACAAGATGGACGAGTACATGACGCGGGAGGACCTGCTCGGTGAGTGGACGGGGGAGGGGAGGCGTATAGTGGGCGGTCGAAATACCGGACGCGTTTTGAGCTCAAGAGCCGCTAAATGGGACTCGAACCGAACGTGTGTGACCCCACCAATGGATTGCTCTCCGAACGAGGTATCCGTGGGTGGGGTCACACGTTCGGTGCGAGTCCCATTTAGCGACTCTGGAGCTCAAAACGCGTTGAAAGTTTTTGCCGCCTCCGCCGGTCTTCTGGCCCACTGTGCCGCGTGGCGGCGTGGCGCTTGCATGCCCTACTTTGCGTCCTCCAGGCTCGCTGGGCGGGCTGTCCGGGCTGTTCGTGGGCTTCAGCCTGGTGTCCGGCTTCGAGTTCGTGTACTTCTTCACCATCCGGCCGTTCTTCCGGATGCGAGCGCGGCAGGCCGCCAGTCGCGCCGCCAGCAGGGCCGCGTCGGCAGCCGCCCCCTTCAACGGCAGCGCGCCCCCAGGGCCCCCAGGGCCCCCAGGGCCCCCAGGGCCCCCCGCACCAGGGGGCTCGCCGCGCAACCCCTTCCCCCTGGCCGCGCCGCACGGCTTCAGGTTCCGGAGACGTGAGTCCAGGGTTCAAATACCCATTTGCAAGCACAACTTCTACTTTTTTCATTTTTTGTAAAATGGGGGGTCTTTAATTGTATTATTTTTCAATAATTGCCATTTTTAACCAGGTGGCACAGACACTGGAATAGAAAAGGACGAGAGGAGAGATCGACCGTTCCGCAGAAACGCTGGTAGTAACAGTATGATTCCTGTCATAGAATGAAGTCAGCATTTTCATGCCAGGTCCAGCACTTTTATTTTCTGACTGTCGCTGTCAAACTTTATTAAAGATTTTGTTAGAAATTTGTAAGAGGCTGAGTTTTTTTTCTTGCAGTTAAAAGATTGTGGGTAAGAAAGACAAGCACATCTTACAAGGACTAGTGTACTTCAAACTTTCAATATCACAATTATGATACACAGCTAGTGTACAGGTTACCCTTTGAAATTTATAAAATGGTCGCTTCAAATGTACAGAAAACGAAAAGACATTGGGGGAATCTAATTCAAAGCGTTTCTTTCTAGAAAACGAAAGAAACACTGAAGACTGAAATGTGTTAAGCTCTAGGCCTATCATGTGAAGCAATACACTCGATAGGCCAGCACTGAGATAATGGTCTTCAAGGATACCAAATGAAAAACTAAGACAATACACAAACTCACAAAAGGGGACAGGCACAAAATAATTTACAAAGTGTTCATGAATAAAAGGAGACCAATAGGAATAAAAAAGAAAGGTTGCATGGTAAAGATAGACTCTACAAGAGGGTAAGAGGGTACAAGAGGGTACCTAAGCTATCTTTAAGAGGGGAAATAAAATACATAACCGGGCTTACAAGGGAATGTCATTCAGTTCAGTACAATCAGTGATTAGACCCTATTAGATTATTACAGATACCAATAACTTCTAGAAAAAATAGACATATCACATTTTGGCATACATGCTAAGCACATACAATGTATATTTAATATTCACACTAAATAATTTTAACAAATACATAGAAGTATTCAGAAATATAGTCTTCTAAGGCAGTAAAATATGTAACTACAGTTGCCATTTATTAAAATAACTATCATCTTAGCAATTACTCAAACAATAAAATATCTGATTGGTGCAATTATTGCAGTCAGGCTCAACCTTTCCAAGCATTTGGGCATTCCAAACTACTGTCATGCATCTTCCTTGAGAATCTGCATTTGCCCTGAAGCAAAATGCACCCAGGTTAACAAGAAAGACATTATTTTCAATCACAGCATTCATGTCACAGTCAAGAGAAAACATACTATGTAGATATTGGATCACGCAAAACCATGCTCAGTATTGCACACTCAACATCCATCACTTTATAAAAAGTTATAAATACATTATGTAGCTGACAACATGGAAACAATTGTCTTGCAACAGCAAAAAATGAACAGATTACTATACTGCAGTCAACACAAGACAATTAAATTGCCAAAGAGTAACAGGAAACCTCTCCACCAGGCCCAAAAATGGAGTAAAAGATTTAAATTATAATGCTCTTCTAAACCTAAAAATGTAAAATTCAAATTTTACATAAAGAATTTTGATCAGCACTGACTGTCTTTAGAATGACGTGTCTAATACCATCACAATAGAATACTTGTCAAAATATTTATCTCTAATAAATAAAAAATACAAACAACAATGCTTTGAAATTATTGCAAGATCATTTTTAAGCTTCAGGGCACGGCGGAGGTTGATACTCTGAATCAGGTGACAGCTCAGTAAAATCCATGAGAGAATCTTCATCTTCTTCTTTCGGGCTAAGTGTTGGAGAAACAGTCCGGCTTGTGATTGAACTGCTTCCACTGACGGAATTAGTTTGCTGGCTGTCCATCATACTGCTGTAGCCTTGGTAAGGAGCAGAGGCACCAAGTCTACCCGGGGCACTTCGGTGTGATATATCTTCTATGGCTTCAGGTGCGTAGTCCACTTCCACAGGGTGCAATAGACGGGTTCCTTCGCTTGGGGACCTGTACATTCCTTTGCCTCGAATGTGGCGACTAAGTGTGCTCCCTGTGAAAACGGAAACAAATCTCATTATCTGAGAAATGCTGTAAAATTGAATCGGCACGTAAACTTAAAAGTGGTCAAAAGCAGAAAGCATGTACAGCAATACCACAACCACTGGTAAGGAAGATGAAACTAACATGCACAGAAAGGTTCCACAAATATTGTGCAAATCAGTGCAATAGGTAGGGGAAAAAATGAGAGTTTCAAATTGTGGTTATTATGATTCAGGTTAATCCCAATAGGTCAGAGCCGTACCCTTCATTATCTGAGAAAGTTGACAGTAGGAGGTAAGACCTTTCATCAGCCTCTGAAGAAACACGCTTGTAGAGACCAGGAACACCAATATGCCGGCCCAGGGTGTATCCTGAATATCAGCATAGTCCAAGATATGGGGTTGAGCAAGCCAGACATAAGTGTAACATTATCTAGAGAGTTGATATTTTTGCTCGGGACTGTGAACTAATGTAGACTAGTGAAGATTGAAAGATTTTCAATATCATGCAAGTTTGAGTTAGGAGGGGCTTATTTAAAAAAGAAATCTATATTATACTATTTGGTTAATCAAATCTCACAATACTAAAGCCACAACCAAGCAAAAATAAAACAGCCGCAAAGTGCAAAAAAACACTCTAAATCCAAAAGTTGGTGTTATTGACTTACCGACAACCCCGATGTGCTCCTTGACATCTGAGTGGACATCGGACAGATCCCACATTGCAAGGAAGGCATCGCAGCACGACTTATGCTCTGCTGCATCGTTCACATAAGGCTTATAGGAGAAACTATAATGATGAGCTACCGCTGCTAAGAACATCTCGATACAAATTAAGAAGTCCTAAGTAAGGAACAAGCAATAAAATTTCATATGAGATTCACTTCTTTGATAATTAAAAAAGATTCAATAAAAATTAGATTTACCTGAAGTCCTGAAGAAATGTCCTTCACATCAGTTTTGTCCTCAGTACCAAACACAGAAGAAATCACTCCTGTGTATACCAGCACTGAAATAATTACTCCTTGGCTAAAACATTAAAAAAAAACATGGATTGGAGAAAAAATGACAAAAAAACAGCTCCATGAACACAGTTGGTTGTCTACTGGTACTTACAAGAAAGAAAAGAATACAACTGCCTTGATACACAAAAACTTGCCAATAGGTTTCATTGGCAATAATTCTTCTTTGTTAGCTTTGTAAAATAAGACAAGGCAGTACATGGCTATGAATTGGGAGAAGTTATTGACAGCAATCATGTATGGAAATGCTGAATCACCTCGAAATTCTCCTTCTCTATAAACCCCAGCTAGTTCACATATGCTGCAACAAAACAAGATTATGAGGCAAGGAAGAAAATAGCTTCAAAATTCACAAGTTCACGCAAGTCATTGAACATACAAAGAAATGGCTGTGGTCACAGGTCGCACAACTGTATACTGTAGAATTCCATGCTTGCAATTATGGACAAGTTCTCTGTTATCAAAGCAGAAAACGATTAGAACAGGAAAGACCTTGATGATCAACACCCATACGCGAAAACCTTACCTGCCCATTTCCCATGTCGGTAAACAACACAAGGGGAATAAGTGATGTGTTTGAGGTTTGAGCTCTAAATTAGCCACAAAATTTACTTCCTCTTCATTTAGGTAGTTGAACAGGAAAATCATAAAATTGTAGATTACATAAGCTTCATAGCATTCACGTAAACTGTCAAAGTAGATGGACTGTGCTGGCATAATCAAACCCAGCCACTGAGAGAGACGAGACGGAACAATTAAATGAAGAACTTCAAAGTTAATTTTTGATTTAAAAGGAATATGTGTAACTTACCGCATTTAATGCGTACAACGGTACCATCCAGAGTATTCTGCCAAGAAAATAAATACATGGATGAGATTATATAGAATAGAAAACGACCAGAAGCTCTGTTATATTTTCCTTTAAAATCATTGGATAAGGTAGAAACTGTTTCAAGAGAGTTCAAGGTGACGTGTTGAGGTGTTATGTAACAACACAGCGGACTTGACAGGTAACACCGCTCACCTAATGATATGCTTCTGCAGCCTGGGCTTTGTGTAGTGAACCATATGCTGGGTGATTTGCCAGAAGGCGATGGGGAGGGCCATGAGGACGAAAACACCCCCGATGAGCACTCCCTGGTCAGTCTTCTGGAAGCCATTCTTGACGGCGCTCATCACCAGGATGGGCAGTAGGATCACGATCACAATAGCATACACGGTCATCACCGCCGGCCGAATCCAGTAGCGCCATTTTCGGCCGAAGCCGAGCAGCGCTTCGAGGCACATAATTGTTTGATTTGGTAAAACCCTGGACGTTTGAGCCCCACTATCTGCGAGGTTATATCACGAAGACTAACTGACGTCTGATAAGGAAAGGCTAGGAAAGACACACTGCACTGCACTGCCTGTTGGCACCGGGGCTCAGAGGCAACGCACGGGTCATTATGCGACACTTTTCTGCGCCGGCCACGCAGAGTCCGCGACAAACACAGCAAATTTCCACAACATTGTGATTCTCAAAGCTGTTCGCGACTTTTGTCCCTTCCTTCGCCTCAAACATCAAAACAACAGGATGAGAAATCGCGGTGGCGGCACATGATGAGAAATGAACGATGACGATGCACGATCGCTGGGGAGGGGGAGGGGGAGAGAGTAGAGTACAGAGCATGACTTACAGCTTTTCCAGACTCTGCCGCTTTTTTGTAAAGTACAGTTAAGTCCTCACTTTTAACACGAAGTAGCATGTGTCATACGACGGACGCAATGGGTGTCAAAATCGGCAAAATGACGCATTTTACGTTTAAAATCACATTTCCTAAACCTAAAATTAAAAATAACTTGGACAAGCATGGTGATTAGCTTACGTGTACACAGCTAAGACCACTTTCTTTCCGTTTTTGTTTGGCCGTCTCTCTCGCTCCCACGAGATAGTGCGCTCCGGGCCCGAAACGGCATACGATCATGTGTGGTCTAGCCCTTAATGGTAATGGTAACGGGGAAGGTAGGCGGTTCTGTTACACAGAGGAGTGTGGCGGGCTGGCCTATCCAGCACTTCGCAGGCGCCGAGAGTAAGACAGTAGGGCTATCTGTCTCTCTCGCACATGCCAGGGCCAGCTCATGAGGGCGATAGAGACAGAGCGAATCAAGGAGCAACGGTCTTTCGAGGAGACAGCGCGGACGGCGCGGACGCGGTCGGTCGGATGCGGTCGCTTCGCCCACTCCATTATTCGAATGCGAGGGCGTCCTCCTGGAACATTCCCACTCGTCAAAGTTCCAGACGCATTCCGAGAGGCGCACGGAGAGAGTTTGGAAAGTGTTTGACAGTGCTGCCGCTGGTCGCCATCTGCTCGTGCTGCATCCGTTCAAAACGCGTCCAGCGTTTTGGCCGGCGGCGCCGGTCTTGTGGCCCACTGTGCGGGGCTACCCCCCGCCGGGCCCGGCAAGCCGAGAGCGTGGGGTAGTGCCAGAGACTACTAGAAGGTGCGGCCTTGTGTGTCGTCACGGCGCGGACTGGGCGGGGCGGGGCAGTCACTGAGTGTGACGTAGCGCGTCGTCCCACGCACGTCTGGCCGTACCTGCCCCCCTCCGCGGAGGGGCGTAGGAGGGCGGCGACGCACAGTGGACCAGAAGAACGGTGCAGGCGGACAAGACTCTAGACGCGTTTTGAGCGCCAAAGTCGCTAAATGGGACTCGAACCGAACAAGTGACCCCACCAATGGATTGCTCTCCGAATTAGGGATCCATTGGTGGGGTCACACGTTTGGTTCGAGTCCCATTTAGCGACTCTGGAGCTCAAAACGCGTCTAGAGTTTTGGCCGCCCGCACCGGTCATCTGGCCCACTGTGCTACGCCACGGCCACGCCGCTCCACTGACTCACTGCCGGGAGGGATGCCAAGTGCAGCCAACGCCGTCCTGTCCGCTCGAACATTGTCTTCACGGCGGTCGTGGGCAGCGCAGCCCCAGCCACTTTCCTTCTCGCGAAGCCGCGAGAAAAATCGAGAACGATCGATATAAATCGAACGCACGCAGAGAGGGGTTGCAAAGGAAAGGAGTGCAACGCCGCCGGCACTGCGAGGAAGGGTACCACGTTCGGACGGCAATCCATGGTGGGGTCACACGTTCAGTTCGAGCCCCATTTAGCGACTCTGCAGCTCAAAACGCGTCTGGAGTTTTGGGCGCCTCCACCGGCCTTCTGGCTCACTGTGCGCCAATCGGCCCCAGTTGGGGCAGGCGGAGCGCCCCGCAGTCTGTCTCTCTCGCACTCACGGGGCGCCCGGCACAGGTGCGAGAGAGACAGTCGGGCAGAGGGCCCTTGATGGCCTCAAGGTCGTGACTGCGATAGCGGCAGAGCGGCTCCGTAAAATGGCTCCAAATGAAACGCTCGGACAAAGCCTCTCTGTCCATCGCTCCGTCTCTCTCGCACCCCCAACGCGCCCATGGGCAGCCTACGGGATGGTCCATGAGTGCGAGAGAGACAGACTGCAAGGCTCGGCGCTGCTGCTGCTGCATGCGCCCATATGGACCAGGCGCGCGCGCAGCCTGGCGCAGCCCAAGCGGAGCGGCGGCCCTGAGGGTCTCTCTCTACCCGCGTTCCGATGTACCCTGCCGTCACTCACGGCGCTGACGGCTGTTCCTGAACACGGCGGGGCACCACCATGGGCACGGAGGCCATTTTGCGGCAGCCCCGTTCCGGACAGCGTTCTGTCTCTCTCGCACTCCAACCGGACGCTCCATGCGTGCGAGAGAGACAGGGCGACGAGGACACTGTTAATCAGCCCGAAGCTTCCCGGACCGAGGGAGGAACCCCCTCGATGACCGAGACCGTCCAGAACGGAGCGTCGCCCCGTCTCTCTCGCAGGGACGCCGCATGCGTGCGAGAGAGACAGAGCGACACTCCTTCGGCCGGCCGTCACGGCGAGACCAAATTATTTGTCGTTTCGGAACGCAGAAGGGGCGGGGCGCGGTCGGGCGGGGCGGAGGGGGAGGTTGCAAAGCGCCTAAGAATAGCGCCGCACCCTGCAGACTCGCTGTCGTCGCTCTGTCTCTCTCGCACCTGTGCGGGGCGCCCCATGAGTGCGAGAGAGACAGAGCGACGAAAAGTCCGCAGACGGTGCTGCGTTCGAGGTGGTTGCTCCCTTCGACCGCAGCCCTTAGGGTGGAAGGACGGGGTGCATTTCACATTTCACACACTCAAGCGCTCCGAAAGCGCTCGGCCACCATGCAGCACAATGGACCGGCGCCGGCGGCCAAAAATATAGACGCGTTTTGAGCTCCAGAGTCGCTAAACAGGACTCAAACAAAACGTGTGACCCCACCAAGGGATTCCCCGTTCGGAGAGCAATCCATTGGTGGGGTCGCACGTTCGGTTCGAGTCCCATCTAGCGACTGTGGAGCTCAAAACGCGTGTAGAATTTGGGCCGCCTCCACCGGTCCTCTGGCCCACTGGGGGAAGTCCAGCCCGTTTTTCGGAAAGTTGGTCACTGTAAATGGGCGGCGGCCGCGTCCATGCGGATGCTCTAGAAGGCGGCGGCGGCGCGGCCGGGTGATTCAGGTGATGCCGCCGAGTCCTTATAAAGACAAAGTGGGCTGCCGCTCTGTCTCCCTCGCACTCACGGCGCGTCCCCCATGCCTCTCGGGAGTGCGAGAGAGACAGAGCGGCGCGTGCCGACGAGCAGTGGATCAGAATCGGAATGGGACGACGCCTCACCTCTGGCCGCGTGCGAATAAGCGAACCGCAGTCCGTCGCCGGGGAGCCAACGAGTGCGAGAGAGACAGAGCGCGTTCGAGTCACCGCCACCCACAAGTGCACCTAAGTCTGACTGCCACACCGGCCCACGTGGTGAGTCGTTTCCGTCGCCCTGCCTCTCTCGCACCTCCACGGCACGCCCCATGAGTGCGAGAGAGACGGAAACGAGGAGGCAGGCACGGCGATGGGCGTTCGCGGACGCGTGGCCCACGCTGTATTCGGGCAGCTCCGCGACGCTCTGATGTGTCAAACGGACGCTTTTGTTGCAGAGAGTTGCGCAAATGGACGGCAAATCGGGGCGAGGCGTCGCCGCGTCGCCACACTGCTATTTCGGTTGTTTTCTTGTTTTTGTTTTTGAAGATGCTGCATCCCGGCGTGTGTTTTACGAGGCGGGCCCGGTGGGTGTCTCTGTCGCTCCACTGCAGCACGCCCAGTGAGAGCGAGAGAGACAGAGCACCGCCCGCCCTGACTCGCGGCAAAGCCGTCAGAAAGGCCCTTAACGAACTCCTTGGCGACTCAAAGGACCGACCGTTTCCCAAAAGCACTTTCCCTGACGAGTTTCTTCAGAAGTTCCCACTCGCCAGGTTTCAGCCACGCACTCCGGATGTCGGATCAGATCATTCTAACTCTCGCTCGCTGACATGTCGTTGAGCATGGAAACGAGAGCGGAGGGTTGCCTTTCTCTCGTTCCGAGAGCAATCCATTGGTGGGGTCGCACGTTCAGTTCGAGTCCCATTTAGCGACTCTGGAGCTGAAATCGCGTCTAGAGTTTTTGCCGCCCCCAGCGGTCTTCTGGCCCACTGGTGGGTTGATCGCTGTCAAATGGCGCTGCAACAATGCGGCGTCGCCGGGCGCCTTTCGGACGCCCTCCTGGTCCATCACCTGCAGCGACTGGCGGCGACTGGCGGCGACGCAGCGGGCCGTCGCTGTCTCTCTCGCACTCGCGGGGCGTGCCGAGCGAGTCTGCAGCAACCTCGTGGGCGCCCTGGGTGACTCAGCCAGCCGGCGCCGAGGCGGCCAAAGACCAGCCAAAGACGCCGAGGCGAAGAACACTCTGGACTCGTGGACGCGGGGTAGCGCCCAATGCCGCGGCGAGCGCCCTCGCGCGGTCGGATTCGGCGGCGGGCCGTGGCGCCGCAGCGCGCTCTGGCGGCGGGCCGGCGAGGCTCGCGTCGTTGCGTCTCTGTCCCACGCGCCGGGCCGCCCTCGCCGCGTCCCTCTCTGCCGCGCGCGCGGCGCGGGCGGTGCTATTTAAATACATGACGCGGCCCGGGCCGCCGCCACGCCGCCCCTCCCCTCCCACACCAAGGAGACACACCGCGCCGCGCCGCACCGCCGCTCAGTCGCGATCGAGCTGCCGAGCCGCCACGCCGCACCCCGTCGTCCTCGTCCGCGCGCGAACACGTGCTCCCTGCCGCCGGTAGTGTCAAGTGCGATCCAAGTCAGCAGCCAGCGAAGCAAGCGAAGCCATGGCCGACGGCGGAGTCAAGAGGGACATCCCCATCAAGCACCTGGGCGACTTCAGCGTCCTGGACTCCGAGTTCAGCAACATCCGCGAGCGCTTCGACAACGAGATGAGGAAGATGGAGGATGAAATGACACGGTTCCGGTCCGAGCTCATGAACCACGAGAGCAACTTCTTCAAGACGTCCACCAGGTAAGCGCCTGACTGGGCCGTCGCTCCCCGCGATCACTTGGCAACCGATCGGTGTCGCCGGCGGCGAGGTGAAGTACAGTTCGTACAGTTCGCGCACCCCACGCGCCTTTGCCGCCAAAAGCCCCGTTGTGCCGACAGCGGTCTGTTTTCGGACGGCGTCAGCTGCTTTACATCAGTGTGCTTAATCGGAAAGGGTCGGTGGAGAACGCGCAAGCGCGAGAGAGACAGCGACGATAAAGATTCTGTGAATGAGTCTAGCCCGAAGGAAAGCCTTAAACGGCGATGTCTTGTCAAAACCACACCGATACCCGACACCGCTCTGCCGCTGCACTGTCGCCGGCAAAGCCTTTTAAATGGGGCTCGCGAACTTCTGGCGCGGTGCCTGCCTGCAGGCCTGCCGCGTCCAATATTTCACGTCTTCTGTTGTGATGCACTGCGCGAGGCGGGTGGTGGGTGCCCAGTGCCCAGGTGAGCCGGGAGCTCACTTTCGGGGCCTCGAGAGACTCCTCGACAGACTTGGCAAGTTATCTTGCCTGATAGGGGGTCCCGCCGTCCCGTCCCGCCGTCCCGTCCCGCCTGCCGGCAAGACTGATTCCGGGGGTCGCGCTGTCTCTCTCGCACTCAGGGGGCGTGCCGTGTGCGTGTGAGAGAGACAAAGCTCGCTGCTGCTGCCTCGCCGGCCGGCACTGTCACTAGGGCGAACGAACGCCCACTCGCTGTCTGTCTCTCTCGCACTCACGGCGCGTAAGGGCGAGACAGGCCGACGAATCCTTAAGGACAGCCTCGGCTAGCTTTGAGGTGCACAGTGGGCCAGAAGACCGGTGGGGGCGGACAAAACTCTTGGCGCGTTTTGAGCTCCAGAGTCGCTGAACAGGCCTCGAACCGAGCGTGTGACCCCACCAATGGATTCCTCGTACGAAGAGCAATCCATTGGTGGGGTCACACGCTCGGTTCGAGTCCCATTTGGTGACTCTGGAGTTCAAAACGCGTCAGAGTTTTGTCCGCCTCCACCGGTCTTCTGGCCCACTGCGAGGTGTCGCGGTCGCGTCTCGCTGGTGTTTGCGAACGGTCCCGAAGGGCCTGGCCTCTGCGCTCGGTCGCTCTGTCTCTCTCGCACCCACGCAACGCCCCGTGAGTGCGACGGAGTCAGAGCGACGGGCTGACGGCTGCCGCCCCGGGGGGCTATACCGCGAATAGCCCACGCAGCCCAGGCCGACCGGTGCCCACACTGTACAGCTCCTAGTTGGGACTTTGGGACTTGCTCGGCACGGCACAGTGTTCTCAACATTGAACTGCAATAACTAGGGGAATAGTGCTCCCGGTGAGCGGGCTTTCTGAACCGCAATAACTAGGTAAATAACTCGGTGTGCCCCCCGGCCCAGCGAACGGGACCGAGGGAGTGCTGAGGTGAGGTGCGACCACGGTGCCCGCACTTTGCCGTCACCACCACCGCGGCCACACTGTGAAACATTTCACAGTGAGGGGGTCAACGTCTGTCTGCCGGTCTGTCCTGCCAAGCACTCCGTCCGCACACTATGAAGCAGCACCGTCGTCTAGTGCGCTGGCCTGACGTCGCTCTGTCTCTCTCGCACCCCTACGGGACGCCCCATGAGTGCGAGAGAGACAGAGCGACACTAGCAGACGACACAATAAGAGCTTCGAGTGAATCGCACGGGGCTCGGTGCCAGCCGGCTGGTCGCTCTGTCTCTCTCGCACTCATGGGGCATGCCGTAGGGGTGCGAGAGAGACAGAGCGAGGCCGGCCCGACCGGTCTTGGTCGATCCGAAACCGAACGCCGCGAAAGGCGACCCACGCTGCACTGTCCGCAGAACACCAACCAAGGCGCTATTTTGCCTGCCGCGGGCTTTGGCTTGGCGCACAGTGTGGAGGCGGACAAAACTCTAGACGCGTTTTGAGCTCCAGAGTCGTTAAATGGGACTCGAACCGAACGTGTGACCCCACCAATGGATTGCTCTTCGAACGAGGAATCCATTGGTGGGGTCGCACGTTCGGTTCGAGTCCTGCTTAGCCGAGCTCAAAACGCGTCTCGAATTTTGGCCGCCTCCACCGGTCTTCTGGCCCACTGTGCAGCATCATCCTGCTGGACCAGCGGGGACGAACTGACAGCCGGACGCGGGCCAGCCGGCTGATTCCGGTACGTCGCTCTGTCTCTCTCGCACTCACAGTGGGTCGCTCAAGGTGCGAGAGGGACAGAGCCGACAGAGCGCCGCTTGGCGCCGCTTCCCAGCCAACCAGCCGAGCGTGGAGGGCGTGGCGGCGAGTCGTTGTGTGCGCGAAGCCGCGGAGTTATTTCGGAAAGTTGGCAATGCACTCGACTTCTCGCATGTTTACCGATCGCGTTTTGTTTGCAGTCTGCCTCTGTCTTTGGGCGCGCCGCCGTCCTCCTCCATAAGGCGCTCCCTCCGCGGGGATCGAGTTGCATAGCCCCCCGGTTCATTACGGCCCGCCCACATTACCACCTCCTTAAGCCGTCCCTCTCGCACCCACACGCGGCGCCGCCCCAGAGTGGGCCAGAAGACCGGTGGAGGCGGACGAAACTCTAGACGCGTTTTGAGCTCCAGAGTCGCTAAACAGGCCTCGAACCGAACGTGTGACCCCACCAATGCATTGCTCTCCGAACGAGGAGTCCATTGGTGGGGTCACACGTTCGGTTCGAGTCCCATTTAGCGACTCTGGAGCTCAAAACGCGACTGCGCCGGGCCGCCGGGGCGAGAGAGACGGCCGCGTGAATTTCTCATCGCTGCGTGCCGGCGCGCCGTGTTTGAACTTTACCTCGGACAGTGCATGCGGGCGGCTCTCGTCGCTCCGTCTCTCTCGCACGCGCGGGGCTGTCCGCGCGGGTGCGAGGGAGACGGCGCGACAGCGTAATAGCCGAGGTGTTCCCGGAGAACCGCGGCCGGCCCTTGAAGAACGGGCGCCGGTCACGCAGCGGGGCTGGAGCTGGAGTCACTAGCACGTCCCGCAGGCTGAGCTCTGTCTCTGTCGCACTCACGGGGCGCCCCGTGGAGGTGCGAGAGAGACAGCGCGACGGGGTGGGCGGAGGCCTGGAAGCATGCTGGAAGCCGTGCCAACTTCTGGAAGCCAACGGCCGGCGCGGGCCGCGTGGGCGCGGGTTCGATTCCCGGCCGCGGCGTGGATTTATTTGTGAAATTGCTGATTGCTTTCCGGCCGAGAAGGCGCGGTGTCTAGCCGAGCCGACCGGGTCAGGCGGTCAGCCTTGGCGCCGTGTTGTGCCGTACCGTTGCCTGGCAACCAGTGTACTGTACAAGTACCAAGTCGCGTATAGTAGTCAGACCTGCGAGGTTCCCCGCCCTACCATGCGGGACAACCATAGTGTCGCCGAGTGTCGCCGTGTCAAAAAGAAAAAAATCGTTAAAAAAAATTGAACCAAATAGTTTATTTTGGTTGAGATTTGGCTTTGTTGGCAGTGGGTCATGAGGGGTTTCTGTCGCCGGGATGATCTCGGAGGTGATTCGACGTCACTGGGCGCTGCTGGGGCGCCGTGCCGCGCCGTGCCGCGCCAAGCGGGGCGCTGCGAGCCACGGCTATTAAAAACCCATTTGCTTTGATTGACGTGGACATCGGACTCAGGCGGATAGGTCTGCTTCGTGTGAGTGTGTGTGTGAGTCCGTGTAGGCGAGTGGGTATGAGTGGGTGTGCGCGTGAAGACCTGGTGGTATCACTTAGTGGATCAAAGCTCAAAATTTTTAAAATTTTTGTGAGCGGGGCGTCAAAGCAATTTTTCGATATTTTCGCAACAAAATGACCTCAATGTCCGCTAGGACCGAGGAATTTTCATGTAGTCGGTTCATCAGAATGTCGGTCCCATTCCACCACACTTTCTGGAACAACCCCATTGTGTGGTAATTTTTTCATCACTCCTCCCGACTTTTATTCCTTGCTGGAGTTTTGAATCGGCGCTCGACGCGTCGGTGGCATGCCTGCAGGTGGTGCCGGGACGGGGTGGCCCCCAGTGTAGTGGCCCGCACCCGGCCAATAAGAGGCCGCCCCTCTGGAGCCAACGTCGAGTCGGAATCTCAATGGTCTCCGAATATGCATGAAGAAACAAACTCCTGAGGACCGCCTGCCCGGCCCGGCCTGCCCGGCCTGCCCACTGACCAATAAAATCCGGCTTGCCTCCGACCAAGGGGTGGCTGCACCAGGACCCCACGCAGACTCCCGTTTCCACCCCTAAGACTGTCTGTCTGTCTGTCTGTCTGTCTGTCTGTCTGTCTGTCTGTCCGTCCGTCAATCCCACCCTCCTGACACCCAATCTGCCTCCGTTTCCGCAACACACCCGTGGCGCCCCTTGAGGCGGAAATTGACGTCTGTTGGGAGAAACGTATTCTGGGGCGTTTCGCGACTCGTCACCGCGCGTGCCACTGCAGCGGATTCTATTCAGAGAATCCCCTTCTTATTTTCACTTTTTTTCCTCCGTCGCAGCAAGTTACGTCTGGAAAATGCGATTCCACTCGCCTTTTCGCGTTGTTGTTTTTGTTGTTGCTGCTGCTGCTGCAAAATCGTGGACAGCAGCAGAAGGGAGCTGAATTCTCTGAATGTTCGAAGGCCGATCGATGAATCGATTAATACCAGCCCCGCCTGATTGGTGTTCGATACACCGACGCGGCATTTGCGCGCCGAGATATGAGAAATCGCTGTATGCAAATCACCCGCAGCGTGTCGATCTCTGATTGGCCGTCGTGCCTGCAGCATGCGATTCCTCGATTGCTCTCGAAAATGCTCTCGAGAATGCTCTCGGTTTGGTTTCGAGAGGAGAATTAAGACTGCGACCGGAACTTTCGCGATTTTTTTTCCACTCTAGCGTGATCCTACAGTCCGAGAGATCTAATCGTACACACTGCCGCGGTGGCGGTGATAATCCTGGTGCATGTAGGCTGCCTGTCGAGTACCAACTCCGCAAAAAAAAGTAAAAATTTTATTCTAAAAGTACACATTTTGTCAATATTTTTTGAAAAAGA